TACCTGTTAAGTTTCTTTCTATGCACTATGCCAGAAAACAGATTCAGAAAAGACTTGTGTTGTGAGATCAGGACGAATATGGCACAGGACAGGAAAGAAAAGACTGATGAAGGCTGGTACAGCACAACTCACCTGAGGGAGAGAACCTTTAGCAGTCCAAGATAAAAAGTCCAAGTCCCTGGCTCCTTGGCTAGCATAAAAGATATTCTGAGCAACAGAGTTTGAGAGAAAAATAGCAGAGAAAAATGGGGTAGAGTGGCAAAGTGCATAAAATACCATTAATACAGGAAAAAGCACAGCAAGTCTTACACTGCCTAAAATATATTTTCCAATACTTTGAAAATAACAACCTTAAATTAACAGCAACACATGTAGAAATCCGGCTCTAAATACCCAAAACTTGGCCTGGATGTAGTGTGTCATGCCATTTACCAGAAAACCATAGAACACAAGCCTCAAAAAAAATTGTAAAATAAAGATGTCAGGTGTAAATGGTAAAGGTTTACAACAAAATTCATATAGCAGGTCATAGATCATCTTTCAATCAATAGAGCATATTTAAAAGTACATCTGTCATGAGAGAAGCATGCAAGTTGCAGTTACAGACTTTTCCTCCTGATAGTGCAAGTTGCTAAGTTATTTTAATACTTCAATTTGAATTTTTTTCTGACCGTCAATGAGGAATTCTAACTTTTCAGAATTTTAACTTTTTCTGGGTTTAGAATGCAATAGATATTAATGAAGCCAGAGACAGTCAGACTTTTAGCATTTTCAGGAGGGCACCAGCAATGGCAATGAAATCTGAGTTTCTCATTCTCAACATAATCCATTGGTGAGAAACAATGCATTTTAATTGCCTGTGAAGTTCACCTCTGTATAGATATGCAGCAAAATCCATGCAAACTGGGGCAATGTGAGCCATTAGCCCTTTTATAAGAGTACTCTCATATGACAGTGTATAATGCAAAAACCACAAAAATCCTAAAGGTCCCCATAACTGCTCAAGCACAGTTCTTGGTCTTGGAAAATGCCCCATTGTTCTTCAGGGCCAATGTAGAGGTAAAGCAATACATGAATATACAACTTTGGAACAAATCTGGAATTTGACCATCATGCAATGCAGCTCCCAGGATGCTTGGATACCCTTTATTACACTTCTTTATACTAGATCATTATATGGTTTTGCTGTACTATAAAATCTTCCGATTCAAAAATAAAAAACAAATGTTACAAGATAAAAAAAACAAGTATATGCAAGAACCTACAGAGTCAAATAGGTTTAAAGTCCATCAGCGTAGTGTGGATGGATGTTTTACAGCTGCATAAAATGTGACAAGTGTCTATAGTGATGGGCAGGAATGGTCTTTCTGCCTAAATTATATAGAAGCCAGAAAAATTATCACTGGCTATTACCAAGAAAGCGTTCAAACCAATCTTCTTCCAACCCAAAAGTAGCAACTCCAGTCTGCCAACCTCAAGATTTAATTGCTGTGTGTTAACAGGTAAAGTCAAATAAATCCAATACCACACAAAATTTTCAGCTCATAATTTGAAGTAAAGCTGATCTAGGAGAAAAAAAAAAAAAAAAAAACATTTCTTCCTTCTAAAAGTAGCCCAAGCATCAGCTATTTTAAAGTGCTTTGACCTAAATCCATTGACAAACGGAGAGTGTATGGATAAATCACACAGCTTACACAGACTGTATAGCCAAAAAATTGTGGATACCTAATCATCCTAAGTTTAAAAGGCTTGCAGGAAAAATCAGGAAATGCTTTCCAAAAGATTTTGGAGTTTGTCATTGTGAATTTGTGCCCATTCACCCAAAATAGTATTTGTGGGGTTAGATTTTGGAGAAGACCCCATCTGCATTCGAAACCTCTCAAAGGTGTTCAATAGGGTTGAGATCAGGGTTCTTTTCAGACCACTCAAGTTTCTTAAAAAAAAAAATTAATCAAATAATGTCTTTATGGACCTGGTTTTCTGCACAAGGGTACATAAAAGAGTCTTCCCTAAACTGTAGGCCAAAGGTTGAAAGCGCAGAGCTGTTTAAAATGTCATTGTATGCTGTAGCATAACAGTATTTCTGAATCACCGGAACTCTAATTTGGAGGGGTGTCCACAAAGCTTTAGCCACAGGATGCATATACTCAAATAAGTGGTAGGCCGATTAGAGATGGTTAGTGGTCATCATAAAATCACGATTCCTAAGCATCAGCACAGCACTCCAGAATCTGCCAAATATAGCAAAGAGTATAACTAAATCTAGCAGAAATTTTTCATATCTGTGTTGGGTAGGTCGTGGTTTACACATACTTTACTTAAATGGAAACAATGTTTTGGCCTCATTCTCACAAGTGCTGAGGCCTATACTGCATGCGGCGTTTGATTAAACACTTGGAGCCACCTGGAAGTGCATGCAGGCAGCCCCTACAAGTAACTGGAAATGCAGAAATTGTACAGACATAGGAGCACATCCAAGTCTGACAGGTATGAAGGAGGTGTGCTCGTCCCCAGAATGAACACTGTCTGCATTTTGTGGCTGGGCATCTACCCCTGCATGCTTGACAAACTCAGATGTTCGGCTGTGTGTACAGCCTCGGTCTCCATTCACTTATATGGGCTGCCTGCATGTAGCTCCGAATTTGTAAACAAATACCTCACTCATGCTGTATAAGCCTCAGCATCAGTGTAAATGATGCCTTAGGCCTCGATCACACAGGCGTACTATATCATAAGGCCATGTGAGGGCTATGTTTGTCAGAGGATGCACAGGTGTTCCGCGTACCTCCTTGCAGGCTGCACCATTTTTATCAATTGGGAAGCAGCAGTTGCAGACACAGTCACTTCTCCCAATCTGACATCTGTGTGGGTGCATGGACCTGAACACAGACAGTGTGCATTAAGGGCCATGCACCCGCATAGCTGTCAAACTGAGAGCAGCAGCTATTACTATGCAGCCACTGTATTTGAACCAAATGAATGGGACTGCCTGCATGGGGATGCACTGAACACTTGCATTCCAGTGTGGGAAACACTGTCCTCAAACGGGTACATGCTATCCTTAAAAGAAAAGTATGTTTTTTTTTTGTTTTTTAAATCATACTTACATAGGTGAATGCAGCATCATTCCAAAACTGCGTCTGTCCCCCACCGTCTCTAACCCTAGGTTCACACCCAAGCATTTTCTGCAGCATTTTGCAGAAAAGCAGTACAGTCCATTTAACATGATTTCCTATGGAACATGGTCACACCTGTGCGTTTTCACCCACTGCGGTTTTTAGAAAGGGCCAGGGGCTTTTTTGAACACAAAAAGTTGCTATTTTGGTTCTATAGACTTCAATGGAAACGCTGCAGAAAAGCATGTATTGCGATATTGCTACGTTTTGTTTTAAATCTGCCTAGCAACAAGAATAAAAAAAAAATGAAAAAAAAAAACAAAACCTCAAAATGCATCAAAAACACAAGTGCAAACACACAACACAATGCAGCAAGGGATCAAATGCAACCTGCATAGGTGTGAAACTGAGCCTTAGTGAGAGAAATGAGCAAACACCGCTGATCGCACAGTTCTCCCTGCCATTCTGAGTGGTGACTGTCATTCACCATTGTCTGCACTGCTGACTTTAAGCCAGCTGTCAGCTGAAAATGGGTCATGCGTGCAGAACGAACTGCACTACTGTGATCCACAGAAGTAAATCCAAACAAGATTTGGCTGTACTTAAAGTACAATTTACCCGATTTAGGCTTATAAAGTTAAAAAAAAAAAATAGATAAATCTTGCACTGCCATATGAAGGGAGAGGGATTCACAGGGATGAGTTACTCTTCTTTCCTTTCAGTGAAAACTATATTTTAAATTTAGCAAATTTTTTAAAAAACATTTAGGTTTTTAAATGTTAGACAATCTGTCTCTGATCTGAATTCCCTGCGCATGCCATAAATCCATACAAGCAAATGTAAGTACAAGGTGGTACTCATGTAAACGGCAAAAGGTTTCTGCATTGACATTTGCATTTACCAACGCATGCATATATGGCGCATGTCCCCCTCCAGCTTGCCACTTTGGAGCCTCTAAGTGTCCATGCACATGAGGCCCAAGTCACTGCTCTAATGTATTTGATCCCAAAAGAGAAGTATGGGGGAAAAAAAAAAAAAAAAAAAAAAAAAAAAAAACAGCTATACATGCCTAGATGGTTGAAGGACCGATCCCACCTGCAGCTGTCCCCCACCTCCTCTACACTGAGAACTGAATGATCAAAGACTACTAATAGCTCACTTCTCAGTCTTCACTGAGCAGAGAGACTGATCGACTGTTCTGCCCCTCTAGCACTCACTGGAATGCAGGGCTGTGGAAGGGGCTGGCTCAGGATCTCTGTGGCATGCTGAGAGGCTGAATCAGCTGCCGGTCTTGGCATCTGAGTGGATCCCAATTTTTCAAAGTTGGGATCTTTCCAGGGCATAAATGCTGTCGGCTGAAAACAGGCCACAGGAGAGCAGAATAAAGAAATAGGGCCAAAAAAAGCTTTGGCCCTGCATCTTTTTTGATCTATTGTAAAACAGGCCTCTACCAACAAAGGAGCTAAGATGACCCAGGAAAGTGTGAAAAGGAGAGGAGTTTTCCATTTGGGTTATGTTGGCCGGAATTCCACTCTAACAGCTTTTAGTAAAGAGGTATAGATATAAAGAGATTACTTTTCAGCACAGAGAAATATGAATGGTCACTTCCACTAAGTCAGTGGTGGTATAGTGGCGATAGTCACCAATAAAACCGCTGCTGAAAGCTTGTTTTTTTCAATTCGTGTCTAATTGAAATACACTGTATAGAACTGCAGCCTAAAAATACTAAACCATAGACTCTGAATTAAAACAAAAAACCAAAACAAATGTATGTAACCAGAATTGTTTTCATCACATCAATCCAGACAAATTGACTGTAGACCTGCAATGTAAGGCATTTGTACCCATAGTTTTTTTTTGTGTTTTGTTTGCTTTTTTACTTACATCAACAGGAGCCAGCAGACTTTTGCCAAGATGCTGATTAAATGATAGGCACCAAGCTTCATTGTAACCATTCATGTTAGGAACATACTTCTTTATTGTCTCATCATTCAGTCTAAGCCACACACCATCATCATTGTGGATCTAGATGGGAAACAAGCAACAATAGCGAGCCATGCTCTCCTGTAACACATTCACTGCCAGCACGGCCTACCTACATGGCGATTTCTTAGAGACACTGGTAGGTGTGAGGCTATAACAGGCAATACTGGTGACAGATGTGAAGGTTGTGGATTGTGAAAAGGTGTAGGAAAAGGACTGCTCAGGTGATTAAACAAAAGCAGAGGATGGCAAAAAGCAAGCAGAACTAGTAGCGTATCACCAATGGATAAAGAAGAAAATGTATACACGCTAAGAAATAAAGGGACAAGAAATCTGCATCATCTGTAAAATAAAATATTGTGATTTTAAGAGAAAAATGTTATGCTTTGCAAGTAATCTGTATATTTTTTGTTAAAGGTTAGCTGAATATTTCTTTCCATAATCTAATCAGACAGTAACATTTCAGGCTCTAACTAATATTCCAAGGGTGAATGGAAATTATAAACTTTCATCATTGTTGGTCTTATTTAAAAACAGAGTAAAGAGCAATGCTTTGTAATTTTAACTGATTGAATTGAAGTTAGGTGGCTGTAAACAGACTTGCGTTCATAGGCAGGAATGGAGGATCTGATCAGGAACGCCTGAAAAACTGACATGCGGACCTGATTGGACCCTTCGTGTGAAAGGAGCCTATTTAATGCTGAATACAGTTTTGGTGATAGGAGTTACAGCACTGCTCTTTGCCATGTTAAATAAAGGCCTTTGCACTGTCACTAAAACATAAGAGTAAAAGATATGGTATTATATATAAGCTAGCTATGCACATTACAAAAAAAAAAAAAAAAAAAAAAAAAAGATATATTATCAGTGTAGGTAGACTGTTAACCATATTGTCTATGGAGTTATTACCTCATCAACAAAAGCGATGGTTCCATTGACCTTGACTATGCCTATCTGCTCACTCTGAAGGGAAGGGTGGCTACGAATACGAAGCCCTGCACTGTCCTTGGCCACAAATTTGCGAACCTACAAAGTAAAGGTAGACAGAAGGGAAAGAAAACCTAAGCGAAAGAGCACAACCCAAACAATAGAAGTTTGCAATGGTCGAGACTCCACACATTTGGTGATAAACTTAAGTTACAGGTTGTTGCTAGTTTCCCAGAATAAAAATGATGGTTCTTTAATGGGGTAGGGGGGGTGGACACACACACAGATTTCAACTCCAATAGGTAGCACATAAAAGTGACACACATTACTTTGTATAATTGATAAGGTTTCCTCTTCATTATAAATCAAGAAAACAAGAAAACAAGACAACTCAGAAATTTACCACATTTCAAGAGAGAAACAGATTTGTTTTCTTAAATTCAAAGTTGAGCACACATTGCATAGTTGTTAATCTTGATAAATCCTGTATAAACTTGTGACCCGTGGGTCTCCCTTTTCCTGTTGGTGGATTTCTGATAGAACAAAGGCTTACACCCCACTGACTTATGGGATCTGGAACCTCCCCAACATGGCTCCACATCACTCACACACCTCTCCTTCCCCCACAAACCCTTTTTAGTTAAACGGTTTCACAACACATAGAATATAGAACACAAAAAATAAAAAACCTGACTCTGGGTCTATCGAATGCTATCAATATTATTTACCACCATCAATGACCCAAGTCTATTGAATGATAAACAATTACTAAGTACACCAAGAAATCATCAATGTACATGATGGACCACCTCAGTCTAACAAAATGATAATAAAAAAAAAAAAAAAAAAAGTAAAAAAATTCAGGTATACAAATGTCAAGTAGAAAAACAGCTTTCATTTTCAGTCCATCATCCCTGCATTTTAATGCAAAGAAGTAGAGACATTCAACCCCCACTGCTAATGATCACAACTGCCATTTTCTTAAGGGGTTAAAAGAATAAAAAGACCTTAATTTGCAAAACTTTTTTTTTTTTTTTTTTTTTTTTTTTTAATTCACATACTTCAGCAAATAAGTCTTTGAATAAAGTGGAAGCTGCTGCTAGAGCTCTAGTCTTTTCATGTTAACAAGCCAAGAGGTTTCCTTTTGCTCTTTTTGCCACAAAGCACAAGTGTGAGAATTTTTGCCCTGGGGAGGGCATCTAAGTAAACAGTAAATGTTATGTGTTATGCAACTTTTTGAGATTCCAAAATGCCCTACAATTTAAAAATAAATGCAAATCTATACAAACCTTATTCGGCTGTGGTTCTGCTTTTGGTTTTACCAATTGAGTTCCAGGAGGAATCATGCCTTTGGGTGGGTCCTTTACTTTAACTTCCAACCCAGCATCTACAATAAAACAAAATTTTACAAAGATGCAGTGAAGACAACGTGTAGCAGCCAAAATATGTATTAAAATAAGGCCTGGCATGTGCGATATGTACTTTATTGCTGTTCTGCAACTTTCTTTGGTTAAACAGGAAGGGGAATACAGGAATATAGGTAGTATCTTGGTCCTTATAAAAATAAGTGTTTAATTAGCACTTTGGCATGGGAGTAGTGAAAAGTATAGCGTTCCTTAAGAATAAATCTGAAGGATATTCTTTAAATGTTGGAAAACACAGTCCTTTTAAAAATGTAGACACATGATTTACTATGCCAGTGTAGTCTGGTATTTTTCTTTGCATATACCAACAGTTTCAATACCTAATACCCAAGACCCGTTAAGTGAAGCACCACCTGCACACCAGGGGGTCTGTTTATTAAAAAATTACACAGTAATCTAAAGAACATTTATTTTGTCTAGTTCACACAGAAAAATTCTATGTGCAGATTCTTTGGACAAATTGCTATACATATTTTTTTTTTTCCCATATACTGTAAAACACCCATGTGAGTACATTCTATAAATGGTGCAACCAAAGAAATGAATTACAATGAAAGAAAATGAATCAGAAAATTCACTCCAAAAATGACTGACTCAGTGTTGGGACACTGTAAATTTTAGTATTAACAGTTTTACTTTACCAAGTCCTTGTAAATCCTATGTAAAATTAACTTTAAAGCTAAGCTCCAAGCAAACTGCTAACTACACAAATTAAATACACATAAAAGTCTTAAGATTTAGGCTAGAATCACATTTTTGCTGGAATGGGTGTAAATCGCACACATTCCTGGCAGTAATACACACTGCTTTAATGAAAACATGCATGAGTGCCTTAACTCTTAAGGCTCCCCCATACACAGAAAAACAGTGTTTTTTCACACATGGAAATGCATGGTGCCAAAGACCCATGCATGTTCCAAGACACAAACACATTGTGTCAGAACCTTTTTTCTGCAGGAATACACAGGCACACCAGCCAGTTCAGATGAATGGGCTGTTGTACCCATGCAAACAGAATCGCAAAAATGTGAACCTAGATGTACACAATCCTGCCACATAGCACAGACCTGTCTTGCAGGGTAGAAGACAGTTGTGGTGGTTAGGCAACCCTTAATGGTCTTGTTCCACCTCTAGCAGTGAAAAAAAAAAAAACAAATGCAGCAAACTGATGAGCTCATCTGTCATTTTGCTTTCTTCCCATGAGAATGTTACTAGTTAGACACCCAAGCACTATTAACTGGCTCCTTGTGCTTTTCCCTCCCTCAGTTTGAGCTCTAGCTGTAAAAGTATTACGAGAGATCAACACCAAGTCAAAAAATTAATTGAACATGCAGCTGCATTTATTACCATATTTTAGGTCTGCCAGCTTTAAGGCAAACCTGACATGACAAAGCAGGGGCAAACACTTCAATACTCAATGTTGAGAGCAGGTTGAGAGCAGGACAGCTAGCAATTGCAGAAAGATGTCAGCAATGCCAGCCTCCATGCTTTTGTCATGTGGTCCTTCTTGGTATATTAAATCCCCATCCTAATTTCTAATTATCACTGTTTTACAGCAGGAATCCAGTAACAAAAAGCTAACTTACCCCAAAGCTAGCATTACCAACTTTTGCTCTTTTAAGGTCTAAGAGAATCTCCATAAAAGATACATAAGGAAAAAACAAAACAAGTGAACCAAAATCCTTGGCTCCCAGCCAATTAAGAGAATTTAAGTGAGGCTAGGTGCATCAAAAGAAATAAAGATGCAATAGGGTATAAAATCTCACCTCATTGCACGCAAGGAAAACTGAGGAGTTCCACTTTAGTTATTAAAACAGTAATTTACCAAGTACCTGTCCATTAATATCAGGCAAGGAAACATACAGTGCCCTAAAGTCACACAAACTTAATTAAAATTCTTTAAAAAAAAAAAAAATTTGTATGTAGTCCAGCAATTCTTAGTTTATCTTCCTAAATTAAAAAAAAAAAAAAAAAAAAAAAAAAAAAAACACAAATTTAAAAATGTTGACATCCGATCACTCAACCCTTTTGGGGGTTTACCTCCCCTGATGCCCCTTTGAAATTACTCTCTGAACTTCACAGTGAACCGCCTGCTCTCCCCATACAAGCTCTCTTGATTTTATTAGATCCTCTAAATTGATCCCCACTTGCACAAAATATTTACCCCATTCCCTTTGAAAAATACAATGTGTTTTCTACCATTATTTATCACAATGAATATTGTCTGCATATTCACTTCTACTAGTTTGTGGCTACCATTCTGCTATGTGCAGCTCAAAAACACACACACAAAAAAAAACAAAAAAAAATAAAAATTATAATATGTACCAATTTCTATTCCATCTATAGTAACATGTATGGTGTAAAGGCCAACTGCTCCAGGGGTCCAGTTTGCACAGTAGGTGCCATCATTGTTGACTCTTATCAACATGTTCTCACTTGGCCTGTAAAGTAAAAATATGAAAATTTAATAAATGTCTTTTTGGTATGTTTAGTTACACCAGCAAGTCAGATAAACCCTAATCATTCAGTCAGATATACCCCTCTACTTCAAGAGCTGGACTTTAAAAGCCATGCTATTAAAAAGCCACTGACTGAAGGAGGATGGTACATGGGGCCTTGTGACAGCAAAGGCCAGCCTTTATGGGAGAAGCTAGGGGTCATCTCCTAGGTTTTTAAATACACAATATTTCCTAAAGTATCGGGACGCCTGCCTTTCCACACACATGAACTTTAATGGCATCCCAGTATTAGTCTGTAGGGTTAAATATTGAGTTGGCCCGCCCTTTGCAGCTATAACAGCTTCAATTTTTCTGGGAAGGCTGTCCACAAGGTTTAGGAGTGTGTCTATGGGAATGTTTATACTGAAAAAAAAGAAGAATTGGCGCTGGGAGGGAACTACATATATAGATCCTAATAGAAATGTGAGCATGTAAGCTAAAAGACAAACAATACAGATGATAAATGTAACATATAGGGCATAAAAGTCCATAAGTCCAAGGGTCTTAAGTAGGGTATTACAGGCGAAGGCAGTGCGAAGCATTACTCTGCAGAAGATAAAACCGAACAGAAGGGGGCACCAATCTGAGTGTAGAGGGTTAATGATTTATTGGTAACAAAGTATGAAAGCTACTCACAAACGTAAGGAGTTTAAAAGTAATCCTCTGGTGAGCCGTCAGCCAGCCAGCGATGCGGGTATGGTTCCCTGTCATTCAGGATGGACGGGGATGGAGCCATCAGCTGTCAGTAGTGCAGGAAGTTTGAATTCGGAGCGGTTAACCAGCGTGGACCGCAAGGGAGTCCAGACCCGGCGGGCGACCAATGGCAGAGCAAGAAGTCAGGTGACATGTTTCGAAGTGCTTGCTTCTTCTTCAGACCTGATCGGCTGTAAGGGATTCGAGTTCTTACAGGGAGAAGACCAGGCAGGGCGGGCTGATTTGACTGAAGAACAGCTCAGAGTGGAAGAAAGGATCTGCAGCATGAATCTCCATCATATTCCCAATTTCAGCCCCTTATAGGACAACATATATCCACTTCCATTGTATGATTTTTCATATAATTTTATGGTACCACAGTATGACCATACTCCAATGAGGGACCACGATGCTGACCATTTATTTCTATATATTTAACCATTTATTATTACTCATATTATTTGGTCCACGCAATATCATACCATTGGGTCCCTCTAGTATAATGTCCCATAGCCATATTACCTCTATGATCCATATTTAATAATCCATCAACACCTTCTTATATTATTTTTTTAAATATCTTTTAATTACTATTATTTTTTATATTTCCTTCCTATTCTTATCCCTTTTTTAAACCATATTATTTGGGTTGCTCCTCCAGTTTTATTATCTATCATTTTTATTACACAAGACTATTGTAGATATTTTTTTTTTTATTATGTGATGCCCTGCTAATACATGGCGGCGCTTCGATCCCATCCGCCAATTCATGCTGCAGATCCCGTCTTCCACTCTGAGTTGTTCTTCAGTCAAATCAGCCCACCCGGTCCAGTCTTCTCCCTGTAAGAACTCGAGTCCCCTACAGCCAATCAGGTCTGAAGACCAAGCAAGCGCTTCGAAACACGTCACCTGACTTCTCGCTCTGCCATCGGTCGCCCGCCGGGTCTGGACTTCCTTGCGGTCCACGCAGATCAACGGCGCCAAATTCAAACTTCCTGCACCGCTGACGGCTCCATCCCCATCCATCCTGAATGACAAGGAACCATACCCACATCGCTGGCTGGCTGGCGGCTCACCAGAGGATTACTTTTAAATGCCTTTTAAACTCCTTACATTTGTGAGTAGTTTTTTATACTTTGTTACCAATAAATCATTAACCCTCTACACTCAGATTGGCACCCCCTTCTGTTCGGTTCTATGAGAACGTTTGACCATTCTTCCAGAAAGAGCATTTGTGAGGTCAGACACTGATGCCAGATGAAAAGGCTTAGCTTGCACTTTCCGCTCTAATTTATCCTGAGGGTGTTCTCTCAGGTTGAGGTCAGGACTATGCAGGCCAGTCAAGTTCCTCCACCCCAAACTTGCTCATTCATGTCTTTATGGACCTTGCTTTGTGCACTTGTGTGTAGTCATGTTGGAATAAAAAGGGGCTATCCCCAACTACTCCCACAAAGTTGGGAGCAGGAAATTGTACAAAATGTCTTGGTATGCTGACGCCTTAAGAGTTCCCTTAACTGGAACCAATCGGCAAAGCCCAACCCCTGAACAACAACCCCACTCCCTAATCCCCCCTCCAAACTTTACAAGTGGCAAAATGCAGTCAGGCAAGTACCGTTCTCCTGGCAACTGCCAAACCCAGAAGCTCCCATCGGATTGCCAGGCAGAAGCATGATTCATCACTCCAGAGAACACGTCTCCACTGCTCTAGAGTCCAGTGGTGGCGTGCTTTACACCACAGCATTTGATTCTTTGCATTGCACTTGGTGATGTAAGGCTTGGATACAGCTGCTCAGCCATGGAAACCCATTTCATGAAGAGCTCTATTCACTGTTGTGCTAATCTGAAGGCCACACTGGGCACTTCAGCATGCGCTGACACCGCTCTGTCATTTTGCTCTATCAGTTGCTGTTCCCAGTTACTTCCACTTTGTTATAATACCACTAACACTTGACCGTGGAATATTTAGTAGCAGGGAAATTTCACGGATGGACTTATTGCACAGGTGGCAAATTATCGCGGTACTACACTTGAATTCACTGAGCTCCTGAGAGCGACCCATTCTTTCACAAATGTTTGCAGCAGCAGTCTGCATGGCTAGGTGCTTGATTTTAAACACCGCTGGCTATGGAGGTGTATGTAACACCTGAATCCAGTGATTTGGAGGGGTGTTCCAATACTTTTGACAATATAGTGTATATCTTCATACCAGAATCTTTTGGCCCAGGATGTTCACGCATTTGGAGTCCCCTATTTCTGACAAAAGAGATTGGAGATGTTGGGATGGTGGGACAATTGCCCTTGGTGCAGACAAAGGCTGAGGAAATATGCATTCCAATTGGCCAATCTCAAGATGGGAACAGCAGATTGCTGGGCAGTGCCTTTCCCATTCAGGAGACTAATACTTACATCCTTCAAGGCTCCCCAACTCCTGGGTTCCTCCCTGATGTTCGATATTGGCCAGTGCTATGGCATTGTCTGATTGCAACCTAATGGGTGTTCCTCGAAAAGGGGAGTCCAGTGGTGCAGAGCCAATCGTATTTCTCTGAGCTCCAAGATCTTGAGGAGCATGGCTTCCTTCAATGATCAGGTTTCTTGAACCGTGAGCAACTTAAACGCTCCTCCCCAGCTTGTCAGGCTGGCATGTGTTGCTATCATCTTCCAAGAAGGTGGGAGAAAGGACTTTCCCATTTCAAATGCTGGACTGGTAATCAAACAGTACCAAGCTAGGGAGTTCCTTGCTTGTCTGGAAAGAAGCATGTGAAAGTTTAGAGAAGGAGACTGTCTAAGGTCAATAGGAAGTTGGAGGGCCCTTTAGTGGAACAGCTTCAAATAACTGTGCAACCTAGGACTCTCGTGGAGAATCTCAGAGAAGGGTGCCTTTTTGATCAGAAAGTCTGAGAACAAGACTTTAAAGAAGGTTGTTTGGTTGAAGAAAAAACCCATGGCTTCGGCTGTGTCTACGATGAGGCCCTTTGCCTTGTACTAAAAAAGCAGGAGGGGTGGGTTGGGGGTAACAGTGCAACTTGTGGTGTGATGTAACACCTGGTAAATCACCCGAGACTAAGTGTTTTAAACTTTCAAAATTGACAGTAAAAATTCCACCATTTAGAGCTTAAAGTGGTTGTAAAGGCCCAAGGTTTTTTACCTTCATGCATTCTTTGCATGAAGGTACAAACCTTCTCTGTGCAGCAATGTGGACTACAAACACCTCCTTGGCGAAAAGAGAGGGATGTGTTATGTAGTCCTAACATTAACTCCCTGTCTTAAGGTGACAACAGTATTGAGCAGTGTTGTCACCCAAGGACAGGGAAAAAGGCAGGATTACCAGGTGAAAATAGGAAAAGAAATTCCTGCAGCCACTGAACCTAGGGACTAGTAAATTGCGATACTATCAAAATTATGTTCTTGGGTTTAGATATGTTTTAATATCCACCTTGTATTATAAGTCTTTCACACATCAGACAAGTTTAATTTGATCATACTGGATTGTCATGTGGATTTGTAAGCATTCTAAGTTTATAATTCAGCATGTGATCCTGTCTGTTAAACAGCAGAAATCTTTGCTGCTACTGAAATTAAATTACATGCACACATAAATGACCACAACAGTTAAAAGGAAAAGAATCCCTTCACTACAATAAAACTCCATAAACATACCGTTTAGGCATAGGTGAGGCAAAACGGAGTTCTTCAAATGAGTAGTTTTCATATGCCTACAAATGAAAATAAGCAGGAACATTTGTTACTTCAAATGTCTTATGTGTACTGAACATGTCTAGAGAATACAAAATGGCATTTAGGATAAAATTCCTTAAAAAGGATATCTATAGTCACAGCATTTTAGAATACCACAATTGTAATAGCAAGACAAACCATTATTTTTGACAATCCAAAAGCTTTCTTGAAAAATCTGTCAAGTTGTGAGTGCTGCCTGGCAGCTGGCCATCTCTTTAAACAACTTTGTGGATTTCCTGCACGTTTGGCAGCTTTTTCTCTGCTTACTCCTTTGGTTTATTTTTGTTTTATAAGATCTATATATCTCATGGTACCTTGCTGACTGCAAGCAATGATTCCTGTACTGTTCTCTGCCTCCTAGAACCATTTCTCTCAGTTCAGCAGGTAGGCTCTGAAATGTGGACAAACCAGTGTGTATTCACAGGGCACAGTGAACATGTGGCACAGAAAGGAAATGTGTGGGATTTTTCACTAAGTTTGCAAACTTCAGTTATTTGTAGTATACTCCTGTTAATATGAATGATCTTGAACTCCAATGCAAAATGAAATATCAGATTTAACATTTTGACCACACAATTAAAGGTCTGTACACAATTACAACTAGAAAGCAACAATCACAGATGGGAAAAAAAAAAAAACAGCTGAGAAACACCTGTGTTTAGGAATCAGGTGGCCAGCAATGCCTTTACTGCTTGTGAAAACCAACATGTGGTAGTGCATACACCTTGCCTGTGCCACCAAAAGTTCTGATCTGTCACAAGGTACACAGCCTCCTTAAGTATGGAGTACATTCCAGTCTAATCAATCAATTTAGAAATTTACCTTTACAAAATAGATGTTTTTTTTTTTTTTATGGGAACACTATGCATATAAAGAAAGGCACACAAAAGTTGCTCACCTTCATCATGGTAATGGCAATGTAACGGGCTTCTTTTACAATCATTGGTTCATAGGAAGCATCAAGTTTAGGTGAAGGAAGGCCACCAAAGGTCATATCAGAGCCTAAAGATGCAGATGTTGATGGACTGCCTGGGATACGAGGAAGTTTTTTCACCTGCTCTTGTTGAAGAGAGGTCTTTTTTTGAGAAACAGGAACTGCTTTCACCTCCACCTGAAATTAAGTCCGGGAAAAAGAAAAAAAATAGTATTTTTGTACTGAATGTAAAACATTTTCTTTGGAGTGCAATGGGGAACAGAGGAGGTCATTAACGATCAGGTTATACTGCTGCCAACAGGAGGATTGAACACAGACAACTGTAAACCAGCACAGGATAATTCAGAAAGAGTTGGGGAACTGCACCCGATGTCAGATGACCAAGAGAAAGGTTGCTAAACCGGAGAGGAACATCTTAGCATGGAACACTGGTTAGACCAGAAAAGTAAAGCGTGCCAACCTTATTTAACCAAAAAAGGGTGTAATGAACTATGGCTTCTGACAAGAAAAGACTGGCAAATTGACACATGGTCAATACAAAGGGAAAACCCCACCTCACAACCACTGGAACTGAACAGAGAACTGTAAGAATGTCCAGGAAAAGGAAGATCAAAAAACAGTTTAATATGATCAAGGCTTTAAGCCTCAACTTGCCTGATTCCAAAGGATCCAGGAGATGAAAAACTCCATGTCTAGAAGAACTATGGACACAGACCTACACTTCGATCAAATGAAGACTAACAGGGGAAACCCTGTACATGATGCACATCAGATAATCAACTCTAGAAGTGTACAGGTGGCTCACACAGCTCCCCAGGGAACCAAAGCATGATCCAACAAAGTCAGTCTGATAAAAAGACAAGATACATGGAAAAACCCATACAAAAAAGGAAGTCAGGGAAAGGCAGGTAGACCTCTTCTCTTAAGATGTGAACAACCTGATAAAAAAAAAAAAAAAAAAAAAAAAAAAAAAAAAAAAGTCAGAGGGCACCCTTTAGCAAGGGCTTACCCACTAGCACAAATCCCTAAGGTAAAGGCTTGCTGAAAAACTGAAGACCTGAAGCTGCTCACGACTTTAGAGATCCCATGACGTATCAGGATCTGTGGAACACTCCAAAGCTCTATCTGGACAGGAAAGTACATTTGGTGTGAGGTGAACCAAAGCAAAGAAAATCACCAGAAAGGTCCATCTCTCAAGTCTGCAAAGCAAACAAGGAAGACGGATGTAGACCAGGAAGTGCAGATCACATGCAGTCCTAGGACCTTTCACTATACAAGTGCAAACAAACAAAAATTATGTGAATATGCATAAAAGTAACAAACTTCTCCACACTGAGATCCAATCCAATTCAACCAATATTAGCGATATCACAATGTAGTGCTATTGTCCATTCCATTCACACTCAAAAGAACTCTAAAATTGTTCTGAATATTGTCCATGCAAAGAAATTTGTACTACTGTTCAAACACATGTGTTATTCTCATTCATCGCGCCATCACTCACATTCTAGAATAGACCTAAACCAATATACATTAGCTAGGTCGCAATAAGCCTGTGTCCATAGGTTTGATTCCTTGCACTCTTCTGCTTACTCGAAATACTCCAGGCTGCATCTCTACAATGCTCAAGAAATAAAACAGAGTGGCACATAGAGTAAAACGGACATTAAAAAATGTATATTAAAAAAAAAAACAAAAAAAAAAAAAAAAACAAAAAACACACACTAATGGGATTCTCCGATCATACACATAGACCACTAAATATATATTTGGTCAGCACCATACATCTAATCCATCTGCAGATAACAAAGCAAACATGCAGGTCTACATGTGGGCACCTCTTGGTAGTGTGCCATCAGTCTCCGCTCCAATGAGTTGCATCACTCATACTTCATCAGGGGCTCTTGACTCAAGTCAATGTAGCCTGCAACAGAGCAGAGACTGATGAACCGCTAACTGCAAGAGATCCCCGCATGTAAACCCACATAACTGCGTCACTTGCCGCAGCAAGATCTATTGTTCCTGCTCGATTATAGAGGTAATTCAACACTATGATGAAGTCCACTGGTATCCATACCCAAGGACCTGCCCAGGAAATGATCTCACAATGTAGCAGAAAATACCCATTGGGACGACAGCCATGCAGACCAATTTGATGCAGTGTGCGGCATATGGTCTGAGCACTGACAGGCTGACTCCCCACCCCTTCAACCTCTGCAGCAATGCTGGCAGTACTCGTACGTCTATTTCCCAAAGATGACCTCTGGATATGACACTGAGTACGTGCACTCCTCTTCTTTGGTCGACCATGGCGAGGCCTGTTCTGAGTGGAACCTGTCCTGTTAAACCGCTGTATGGTCTTGGCCACTGTGATGCAGCTCAGTTTCAGGGTCTTGGCAATCTTCTTATAGCCCAGGCCATCCTTATGTACAGCAACAATTCTTTTTTTCAGATCCTGAGAGTTCTTTGCCATGAGGTTCCATGTTGTACCAGTATGAGAGAGTGAGAGTGATAACACCAAATTTAACACCTGTTCCCCATTCACACCTGATGCCTTGTAACACTAAGGAGTCACATGTCACCAGGGAGGGAAATTGGCTAATTGAGCCCAATTTAGACATTTTTTTTTACTTAGGGGTGTACTCACTTTTGTTGCTAGCGGTTTAGACATTAAAAGCTGTGTGTTGAGTTATTTTGAGGAACAGCAAATGTACACTGTTATACAAGCTGTACACTCACTACTTTACATTGTAGCAAAGTCTCATTTCTTCAGTGTGGTCACATGAAAAGATGGAATAAAATATTTACAAAAATGTGAGGGGGTGAGAGATACTGCATATACATTTTACATACCTCCACATCAGTTCCAATATGAAGGAAAAAATTTGTGAAGATGCTTTAGTTACTGTACCTACAAAACTGTTTCAAGCTTATGTAAGTGTACAAATTGTATATATTAAAAAAAAAAAAAAAAAAGAAAAAAACGGAAAACCTGAATTAGACAAAACTAGTGACTGGGTTGAAGAGAATTCTGTTATATCTGGCCATTCACGGATTATAAAGATCAAGCTAAGCAAACTCTCCCCTCACATAGTTCACTTGGATAGTGACACCAAACATGCCATCCTTCTAAGCCTTCATTCAAACCTTTAGAATATATCCAGGGCATTCTCCATCAATCAGTAAGAAAAAAAAAAAAAGTTTTTTTTGTAGGTTTTAATTCCCAAACAAGGTCTTGAAGTTAGATTGATCATGACTTACTATGGTGCTAGTGGCTTTAAAAAATAAATTCAAGACAGTTAGCCTGATCTTTACAGATGCAAAAGATTTAAATTCTTGGAACTAATAACGCAAAATGTCTGAGATCTCTAAGTAAAAACAGCAAAGCAAGCAGATAAGACTAAAAAAAGTTTAATAGCTTAAAGAATAAGTTCACCTTTGGGAACATGTTACATGTTCCAATCGTTTTAGGGTGGAACATATAACAATTCCATTCCTGCAGCCGCTACCTCTGGTGAAGGCAAGCAGGGTATCTTCTCCCCCAGTTCACGGTCACAAAAAAAAATAAAAAAATAAAGAAGAAGAAAAGTTGCTATCCAGGGCTCCACCCCACAGCTGCATTATTCAATCACAGAGTTCTGTAAATGAGAAACTACAAGTACCGACAGCCTTTGCGACTGTTGGCTTGTAGAGCTCAATGATCTACCATGGTGCTGTTCACCAATCTGGTAGTTCATCGTCTCTTCCTGCCAATGTCTGTCTGCTCATACCTGGTACGGGCAGACAGATACACACCGAGTCTGCGGGAGACCTGCATGGCACTCAATCTACTGATGGTGGGTGCAATGCTTTACAGGCTCCAAGTTAAAAAAAAAAAAAAAAAAAAAAAAAAAAAATACATGAACCATTTTACCTGAAAAAAAAGATGTGCATTTTTTTTTTTTTTTTTTTGAAAAGGCAAACTTATTTTAAAATGTCATTAAACGCAGACTATGAAAAATCCTATTACATGTTGTGTAAGTGTGCATGCTCACAAATCCACTAAAGCATTCGTTTTGTGTAGAGTGGAGTATACCTGGTTGATCCTGCCTTCAGGTTCTCTGCCATCTTCTCCGTGTTCCCATTGTAGGCTGAGATTGTGTAGACCAGCTGGTGTCCTATACTGAGCATGCTCAGTTCTAAGCACTTCATTTCCTTTTTATTTTTTATTTTACTATAGTCACATGTGGACGTATACTCAGTGGTAAATTACACTATTGCTAAACACTAAGGGGACAGGATATAGTATGCCGATTGAGTACATTCACTAAGAAACTCACAAAAAAAGCTTAGTTTTAATAAATGTCAATATTCAATATATCAACTAACTATGAATACCTGTAAAGTGTTAAAAAAAAAAAAAAAAAGCCTTGGGCGCAGATGCCACCTGGGCAAAGTGTCAATCATCTTTGAAGACTCCTACATGCAAAAAAATATACATTTGATATTTAATAAAGATGTATAGGGAGCTGTAAAACCATTTGACAGTTATAATTTAATCTGAATTGCTCTTCTGAAACTTTTCTAGTCATGTGACTGGCACAGCACCAATCAGGGCTGTGCAGACAGACTCATACTGTAGTAATAGAAGCCCCTCCCAAGGATCTTTCCCTGCAGATGCCAAAGAAAGGGGAAAGGTCATGTGACCACACAACAGTGCTGCATGAATAGGGTACTTGGAGGATTTAAAAAAACCACACAGTGCCATGATGCATAGGATTTATGTGCATTAACTGCTTCCCCACCGCCCTATAGCAAAAATACTGCTACAGGGTGGCAGGGCTGCGCAAAATCATATAATATAATATATATACAGTCATGGCCGAAATTGTTGGCACCCTTTGATATTTTTCCTGAAAATCAAGTATTTCACACAAAAAAGGTATTGCATTAACACATGTTTTGCTATATACACATGTTTATTCCCTTTGTATATGTATTGGAAACAAATATAAAACAGAGGCAGAAAAGCAAATATGACATAATGTCACACAAAACCCCAAAAATGGGCTGGACAAAAGTATTGGCACCCTTAACTTAATATTTGGTTGCACACCCTTTGGAAAACATAACTGAAATGGTCGCTTCCTATAACCATCAATAAGCTTCTGACACCTTCAGAATTTTGGACCACTCTTCCTTTGATCCAGGTCCGGGTGGGACACCTTTTCCCAACAGCAATTTTAAGATCTCTCCCAGGTGTTCCTGGGCTCATTGCTGGCCACTTCAGACCCAGCGCTTCTTTGCCATCCATTTCTGAGTGCTTTTTGACCGATGTTTGGGGTCATTGTCAGTGATCTTGGCGGACTGGGAGGACCCAAAATCCTTTGGTAATCCTCAGATTTCATGATGCCTTGCACACAGTCAAAACCATGCCAGAGGCAGATCCTCCCCACCCTGTGTTTTGTTCTTCAGCCTCATTCCGTTTTCCAGTAGAATGATGCTTTACGCTGCTTGTATGGCTTTTGGCTGCAAGTACATTTTGGTAGTAGTCTTGCTTTTTTATGTACAAGCAGTGGGGTCCTCCAGTCTCCTGTGCATTTACATAGTAAAGCACGGATAGTTACACAGAGTTAATGCTCCCCCTTTGATGTCTTTAGCTTATCCCCTGGATGTTCATCAATTTTTCCCCTTCCTGACCCTACAGTGGGTCATTAGTACTGTGTCAGTGCCATTTATTAGCACAGACAGGTCCCCTGTATTAGTGTCACTGCAAAGGGGATGTCAGTGATAGTCTTGCCCCAGGTGAGTTTACAGGAGCATCAGTGTTAATTGCCAATAACACATTTTCGAATTTGTTTAGTTTTGTCCCAATACACACAAAGCTTTAACATAGCCTTCATGTTAGGAAATACATGAACAACTTCAACCATACTGATCCTTTGTCTGTTACAGTTATGGTAGTGGGCCAGCCACATCTAATATCATCCTTATTAAGGATTAGGGAAGTCTTCTGTGTGTGGATCAGCATAGGAATCCGGTTGAAGCCACCTCACCAAAGATACAAGCCACATCTAATATCATCCTTATTAAGGATTAAAGTCTTCTGTGGATATAGGAATCCGGTTACCTTAAGTCTTGTTAAAATTATATATTTAAAAAAAAAAAAAAAAAAAAAAAAAAAAAAAGGTATTTACTCTAAAATCTAATAAAATAAATCTTAATGACAAAAATACATAATAGCTGATATTTTTGGTAACAAAGACGAGTAGTAAAGCCCAAAGTCATAGTTTGCCTGCCTGTTTTTAGACCCCTTTTCAATATTACATTGTGACTCAATACTTAAGGTGAAATTGCCTTTCTGCATACATCAGTATCTATAGGGCCAATTCACACTACTGTGCTAGTGCGATTTGGTACTAGCAGGGATCGTGCTAGACTATTTTGCACCCTTGGGATGGCTAGCTACTTGCACCCCCACCTCCAAAAATAAACTTTCTAAATTTTTCATAAGTCCATTAGAAAAAACCAGCAACATCTGCGGCAGCCATCATTAAAGTATGCCAGTTTTGAATGTGGAAGACCAATTTAATAACCAAGTGGTGTTAAAACACTCACAAGACAGACATAATTGCTTATCAAGAATAGTCACCATCAATCCTTCCTGTCCTATGGATCAGCCAATGTGGGTCTGGAGCCATGGATGGAGGAGAAGACAAAGATGCCAGGATGGTGCCAGACAACCAGAAGTGCCAGGACCTGCTTGGCATGCACACCAGGACGGGAAGGTCCTGTGCCTTGGAGGACAGGCTATTTGATCAGAGCTCTCTGCTCCCTTTAGAGGCCTCAAAAGCACACTGCTGTATCCAACTACATATGGACACAGCAGCAGCTAGATGGACTACAGATACCAGTGTGACTTTTTTGCAACAACGCAAAGTAGGAAACCGAACGCAAACATAAAACCAGAGGTAAATACACGCTATGTGATACAATTCTCAGCAAGCAGGAGAGTAGGGAAACCAGTGGCTGTGCCCTAGGCGGCAGAGCACCCTAGGTGACTGCCTAGCTAGACAATCCTAGAAGAGGAGAGGGCTATGACACTCAAAACCACAATGCAATTGAATAAAAATTTATGGAAAGGAAACACTGCAAGTAAGCATTTAAAATATTCCATTTTCTCATACTCTTACTTGTTTTTTTACATTAGTGACAGAATAATGTATTTAATCTCTTTAAAGCCCCCCCCCCCCCCCTTCCAAAAAAAAAACCAAAAAAAAAAAAACCACACACCTTGTCCCCATGTTGATGAAGAAACATACATTCCACATTAATAGTTAGGCTACCAAAATTACTGCATGCTGTAAATTGCCTCCCGCTTTGTTCCTATTTCTTCTTGATGGAAGCTGCTATTTTACTGAAGCCCAGAGCCCCTGAGTAGTATTATATCTTTAGGCCGGTGTCGTATCAGCCTCTACAAATTTGGCACAGTGTCTAAATATAGAGAGAAACTGAGCATATGCAAAGCAGGGTGAGAGTATTACTGGATTTTAAACAGTATAGGAACTTATTTTTAACGTTTTACATAACTATACACCTGCAAACAGGCCAGCCTGATGTGATCTACTAGGACTTAATTTTCTGACTAAAGTTCCACTTTAAAGTTATTTTAAATGATGGAATTTTAAAGTTCAGGTGCACTTTAGGAGGGGAAGGGTATTTAACATTTACCTATTTTACACATTTTTTTCTCATGGGTAGCTGGTTCACCTTGCCATAGCAACAGATCACTTACAAAATTAACCTAAATGCATGATTGTTCTTCATGGGCAATAGATCACTATTACAAAGGCATGTGGGTTCAAAGGGAGAAATAATTGGATCAGCAATGCTCCAATACAGTTGTTGGAAATCAAAAGAAAATGCTGTTGATATCAGAAGGGCTTTTTATATAATGAGATTAGCGAGACGTTGTGAATTGTACTATAGAGTGCCCTAATAGAGAAGCCCAGGAATAGAACAGTGTATTGGGAATGAGTGCTGGACAGCTGCTTGCAGCCAGTAGCTTCAAGGCAAAACCCTGCTAAACCTGTTTAAAGCAAATAAAATCCAAAGAACCAATCCAAGATCGATCGCTGTCCCAGTGTACTTTTAAGCATTCTAGTCCCAAGTACAACATTAAAAGACAAAAAAGTCCTACTGTTCTTTGCCAAAAATATACCATAGCGAGCTATAGGCACAGAGTTCTTTCAATGATTTTTGTCCAATGTTTAAATGATTAAGTCAAACTAACCTTGCCAAACGTCCACCGCTAGACCCTGGCACACAAGTGATAAAATCCTCCAGAAAAGACTGCTCATTGCTTTGAATCTGCAAGGGAAGGTTTCCTTCTAGGGCTTCCAGAATGGTCGGAGAATGAGACAGAGCAAGGCCTTTTCCTAAAATCCCAGAATGGGTTTTGCACACCTATAAGATAAACAACATGCAAAATGCATCTTAGCAAGTCCAACAAATGCATCTTAGCAAGACCAACTTGCTTTAAAGAGGTATTGTTACACAAGTCATTCTTTTGGGTGTACTGTATGCAGAGAGAATTAAATAAATTTGTTAAACATCTGTTACGCAAGCTTTTTATTAGGTGTAGTACATTACTTATTCCTACCCCAATGGGTGAAGGGCCATTTTTTTTTTTCCTTTGTACAGTACTCCTTTGGTAAAAATAGCCACCTTTTTGTTAACAGCACATGCTCCAGCAGAAGAAAGTTATCCCACCAAATATGTTGCAAAATAATTCTCTGGGTTATCAGTTAACAAAACAGACTTTGCAAAACCAATGTTGAGAAAAATAGGAATTTTGTTTTTGCAAGAGCACTAATACAACTACAATCACTTCAAGCACAATTACCTGTAGGTTCCTTATCTTTGTGTATGGTACAAGTCACAGGATGACTTTTCAAAGACAATGGGTTCTATGCAGACTACCGTCAGGTAACTGGACACTAGCAAAAAAACTGGCTAGGGCTACCCTAGTGTGCGGTCATATAACCTTGCTCACTCTGAGAAGCCAATTTTTAAGAAAACAAGGAGTGATCACGACAGAGGATGGATCCTGTGACCTGTACTGTACTACAAGATAAAAGAATTAACAGGTAAATCAAAATTACTATTATCTTAACCATACAGTACAAGACAGAACATGCATTCATAGACCATGAGACTTCCCCAAACTGGGGGGGGGCTACAACATTACAACATAGAAAAACAGAACTGCCAGCAGACACACAAGAAAACAAAAAAAAAAGGTTAAAGAACCCACACCCCCCAAAAAAAAAAAAATTGACAGTCAAAGCTTGCATCACCCAAGGCTTTAACATCCATCTAGTAAAACCTGAAGAACATGTAAACTGAGGACCGGGTGACAGCCTTGCAAATTTGGAAAGATGGCAGATGCTGAAAAGCCTAAAGCTGCACACAGACAATTTTTCTTGTTTGTTCATTGGCTCCTTTTGCCTGCGAGCACAGATTTTCCAGCAGGACCGTTTGTTCTGCAGAAGCCAGTCTAAGGACTGGCTGCATCAGACAGTTGTACACACTAACTGAAAGTTGGCCCATGTGCATCGGGCTTAAGATACACCAACAGCCCTGGTGGAATAAGCACTGATAAGGAAAGAAGGAATTCTGTTCCTAAGGGCATAGGCCCTGGAGAAAAGCTGCCTCTTCTACTTGGCAATGGTGAAGCAGGATGCAGTCTATGAGGGCCTACAGGGAGAAAAGAGCTCATAGCAGCCAGGTAGACCCTGATAGCTTCAACCATATCCAGGCAGTTTAGGACAATTTACAAGGTCATGCTCTTGGGCAGGAGAAAGGAAAGGATGAACCATGTACTCATTGGGGTAAAAAAAAAAAAAAAAAAAAAAAAAAAAAAAAAAAAAAAAAAAAGGACCACCATAGAAAGAAAAGATCGTTTGGTCTTAGAACCACTTTGAGTTGGCAGCTGTTTCTTATTTGGCACATAAACAAACATACCTAACAGATATAAAGTGCACCAGGAAGGCAACCTCACAATTCGGTCTTCCAAAGGCATTTTCCCCACTTGTATCAACTGCAGAGAGTACCAGGTTTAAATCCCAAAGGTGATACAGGAGGTTAAATGGGGGATTTATATGAAGAAAATACTTGAGGAATTGTAAGGCAAGGGGTTTCTGGAAGAGAATGGAGAAGGCAGAAACCTGTCCCTCAGGGTCAGGTGCTGGTTAGGACCAGACTGAAGAAAGGTCACAATACGAATGAGCGTGTTCTCTAGGAGTCAGCTTTCTGTCCTTGCACCAGGCAAAGTGAGCAATTCTAAATCTTATGGGAGTTGCAATTTATTGGTGAGAATTACCAAAAATTAGAAATACCCCTAAGCTTCAGGACTTGGGTTTAACATCCATGCTCTTAAAGCCAGCAACTGAGAAGCAGGATAGAGAATAGGGGGCCTTGGGCCAGTAAGTCTGGGCTTTTTGGGAGAGACGAAAGGCTCGTTCACTACAAGTCTGTTTTTGTAACACATACTTTGTCAATTTAGTGTGATGAGAATCACTGGAACCCTTTCCTCCCATCTTCCTCAGGATTTTGATTAAAGGAAAGGTATAAACTAGTTTGAATGGAATGCAAAGAGTCACCAGAGAAGCTACTGCAAAGTCTAGAGGATCCCTGGTGCTAACTACAAGTTTGTTCAGAATATTGTTTAACTTAGAGGCCAAGATGTCCACATCTGCTTAGCCCACTCCCACAGGTCTATGTGTTGGAGGATTAGGAAGTCTGCCTGCCAGTTGTCCACTGCACTGATGTAGACAGCCAAGAGAGCTGGAATTTAAAAATTTCCACCTAGAAGAGTGACAGACCAGAAGCTTAACCTCTGGTGTCCCTTGATGCTTTATGTAAGCAATTACTGTGGCACTATCCTACAGTACAATTTCTGGGTGATCTTGCAAAAGGGAGGTCCAGCATTGTGGAAAGAAATCTGATGTTTCTCAGTTACAGAATGCTGACTGGGAGATTGACACCTGTGGGAACCATGTACCTTCAACAGGGAGTTGCAAATTTTTCCCCATCCTATAAAGGTTGGCATCTATTGTCACTACCTTCAAGAGCATGTGAAGAAATCTTTTTCCATTTACAGGGCAGAATTGGAGATCTATAGTGTCGGGGTGATTCTTCGCTGGCAGGATTGGAGCATCAGATGAGCCAGGAATTGGATTTGCTTGTTCTAGGTCATAAATATGTTGGATTGAAGAGCTCTGGAGGGAACCGGGCAAAGGAATTTGCTTTTGCATGAGTGTTCTGGACCTAGTGGTAGCCTCCTTCAAGGCAAACTGAGGCATGCATTTTTAACCTGAGGGTCTGTGTGGAGGGACAAGCAAAGAAAACTGGAGTGCAGACTTTGGAAAGACGATTATCCAGACAAAAGATTAAAAGGAACTGAATCTTCCCTGGACGTTATCAGACAAAGTTGTAGCTGAGGAGTCATCAGTAGAAAGTTGGAACATTGGACAAAAAAAAAATTTATTCAAGTTATGCTTCCTGAAAAAATTTGTTGCGTTTGAAGAGGTCTATCAATCACCAAAACAATTTCAGAATGGCTGTATTATGTAGGGAACTTGAGAAATACTAAACCTTTAAATGACTATAAAGTATTTAATTGCATAATGTTTCTGGCACCCTGCACAAGTTCAAAAAGGGTTAAAAGTGCATTGTCAATTTTTGTTTGTATTCCAGTTTCCTGATACCGCTTTTCCATTGTGCCAATTTCCTAGTGAAACCTTTCACCATGTTTGCCACTGACTGCATCTAGATTTTCACGGATAAAAACGCAGTATAAATACAGAAAATTAATCTTTAGATGCAAGTTGCACTTCATGGCCTTGAAGCAATTTGGTGCCAAGAAAATTCTCAATGAGATCCTTGAATTTTCTCTGACCCACTCCCTCCTCACAAACAGATCTTCAAACTGCTTGTCATTTGAAGATCTGAAAAAAAAAAAATGCCTCTTAATTGTGGCATCAGTTATTCTTGGAAACATTTATCTCAAGCAAAAAACCTTCACCTTCCTTGCTTGTTGCTTTCACAACATTTTTCACTTTTAGGGTGAGCCCAGTCTGCATATATCACATCCTTTACATGAGGATGTACAGCGAAGCACTGGAGATGCTGAAGCGGATGCCACCATCTGCAGCAGAAATTTTCAGAAGAATATTTAAAGTTGGTCTGGACAACCTTCACAAGCCAATCTACAAGTCCTTCTGGGTCTGTAAGATTAGGAGAAAGCCACCATTGCTGATCACCACCTAAAAATGCCAGGTGTCTGGCTGTCTCTGGCTTCAATACACCACACACATGCTCTGGATCAGCAACAAAAATATGTTGGTGTACCAGAATGATAGCCAGGGACTTAACATTATCAAAAGGAGAGGTTAACAAAAGCAGTCTGTATAATTCCTCATTACAGGTCGCCTTTAAAAAGTCATTGGCCAACCCTGCTTTAGACTATATATTTATTATCTCTGTAACCATTTAAATGGCAAGTCCATCTCAACCGAATCTTTCCATTTTGTGTGGGTAATAAAACGCCTCTTGCAGGCTCCAGATGCAAGATCTTTTGCATATATTGCCAGTGACCTTATGATTAGAGGATTGTAAATGTGTTTAGATTTTAAATGCATTTAAAACTATGGAGAATTCAACTGAAAAGGAGAAAACCCCTCACTGGCTAATGTCTCATCAACCCACAGCGCTGAAACAAGTAGCAAAAAAAACAATTTCTAGCAGATCACTAATGCAGTATGGGTTGCTGTTTACCTGCAAAGCAGCCTCTTCAACAATCTCCAAATCTTCTTCCAATTCACTACCTGAAAAAGAGAATGAAAGTTGTTCCTCTATTGAGTTATAAAATTATACATCTTAAGCAGACCATATAACTCACAGGCTGACTGCATACATTTCTGTACAAATTTCTTTAGAACTCCTGAACAATGCAATAGGAGGGTCTAACAATATCTTTTTTGTTTGCTATCAGATATGCCATTGCATCACGTTAGAGGATGCAACAATGATTGTATAGTCAGCTCTACTCTTTCAAAATGTACTGCAAGCTACAGTAAAAAGCCATGGCAATAACAAAAAGTACTGATTACTCACAATAAGATCAGTAAACACGAATCCAATCTAAAACGCAGTGCCGCTCCAAACACCGAGCAATCCTCTCCGGTGATCCACTATGTAGCAGGTGCTGGCATCTAAAAGGTGCTCATCCAAACTTGGAATGGAGTCTGAGATGGAAGAACACCGCACACAATCTGTGTGCAGGTTCAAGTGAAGGGCAGCTTTAGTCTAGGCTCCTCCCAGGACACATCTTTGGAAGTATTTCGTCCCCCACGGGGCTTGCAGCACCCACGTATACACACAGCCATTTTTAACGCAGGAACGTGTGCGTTTGGATTGTGCACTTGCTTCCACAGGGGTCGGTCACAGTGGCAGGATTGTGGAGCAAGAGCAGGATCTTTAATCGCTTCCACACTGCCATATAGCAGAAATACTGCTACAGGGTGGCACGGGTGCGCAAAATCACGTAAAACATGATTATGCATTTCACAGTAGGGGGCACGCACTGCCTACCCATGTCACCATTCGAGGCCTCGTCTGTCAATCACTGAGTCCTGGATGACACCTGCCGATCTCCGAGTATTACCGACGGGGGAGAGATGTGTGTATAAACAATACAGATCTCTCAGACTGCAACAAAGATTGCTTCTATGTTGCGATCTGCAACATAACTGTTTAAGAGTTACATTGTATGGAGATCCACCAGGCAGTGTCAGCAGCTGAGGGATTCCGAATGGTTATCTACTTGGAATTGCTTTGCGATCTGCACCAGAGCTGTTTGACAAGAATTTTACACGCGAGTGTACTATTTTTTTTTAATTGTTCAATAAAACGACATGTATTGCTGATGGAGACCCCATGCTGCTGTTCTTTTGTTTTTTCAAAATGGAAAATACAGGGTATTATTTTTGCAATCGCATGCAAATTTAAGGTTTGATATATGGATTTACTCAGTGCAACCTCATCTTTCATATTTAAAAAAAAAAAAAAATGGATAATTTATTGCTTTTTGTGCTCTAAAATTAACGTGTGTATTTTTTACAGAAATTTTGCATGTCCTAGACCAGTGGTGGGCAACCTTTTTTTTCAACTGAGCCAAATCTCGCCAAAACCACGATTGAAATTTATTTTGAGAGCCACATTTTTAAAACTGAAAATACATAGGATGGTACACTGTTTTTAATTTCAAGAAGTTTTTATAGTAATTCATCCCCCAGATAGTAATTCATCCCCCAGATAGTAATTCATCCCCCCAGATAGTAATTCATCCCCAGATAGTAATTCATCCCCCCTAATAGTAATTCATCCCCCCTAATAGTAATTCATCCCCCCTAATAGTAATTCATCCCCCATATTAATTCATCCCTCATATAGTAGTAGTAAGTAAGTAGCAAGTAGTAAGCGAAGTCCCCCCTGTGTCAATTCACTTACCTTTGCTCCGCGTGTTCTTCTCGCCGTGTTCCCGCACCGTTCCGGTCTTCAGGGCGGACTGTGAGAGGAGCCTAGCTCCTCTCACGTTCGTCACGCTGCCCCGCCTACACACATCCCGACAGCCAATCACTGGCTATCAGGATGTGAGTGGCAGCGAGACTGGCCAATCGTTGCATTTGAGCGCGCTGCCCTGGCTGTTTTTTTTTTTTTGGAGCACGCTCCACGGGCCGGATTAAAAAGGTCCGCCGGGCCGTAGTTTGCCCATTGCTGGGCTAGCTGCAGAGTCCTGACTTTTGGGGCGGCTGCCCGAGAGGAGGGAGGGGAGCGGGCGCCCGGCACACAGAAGAGCCGCATTAAAGTGTGTAAAGAGCCGCATGTGGCTCGCGAGCCGCGGCTTGCCGACCACTGTCCTAGACCTTTGTGATAATATTGTGTGACATAAAAATTTGGAACTACCACTATTTTATTCTCTAGGGTCTCGGATTTCAGAAAATATATGTTTGAGTTTTGTGTAATCTGCAGACCTTAAATGTTTTGTTTTTTTAAATGTGTGAAAAAACAGCTCTGGCAGCAAAAAGGATAAAGAAGAAGCCCGACACTCCCCTTTCCTGACAAGCACCCAATAGGTGTTCATTGCACTGCAAGGTCTCTACCCTCTCTGCTAGTCCCCAGGTGCGGTGCTGGAGACAGGCAGGGAGGGCAGGAGATAAGCAGCGCAATGTTAAAAATATTAAACGTTTAAGTCGCCATAAGCCCCTTTTAAATTTAAAAGCCCAGACATTACTTAAAGCAGATTTAAATACGGTTTTGGTTAAAAAAAAAAAAAAAAAATAAAAAATCCATCAAGACAAGCAGATTGGGGCACGGATTCAGTCCCTGGACAAGTAGAATTTTTTCAAAAATTTCCACGCTCCTCTATAGTACTGACTAGTTAGCAAGCTGGACACAGAAAATAATGGACTTGTCTGGCTGTACAACATGGCAGAGATGTGTAAATACCGAATAAAAAAAACCAAACTATAAAATACATATTAAAAGAATTCATTACACGTAAGAGTACACTTATTTTATGTGCATTTTGCATTGACCTCCTGGAGTGCCACAATAGGTTATTTTGATTACCAAATAAGGAATGCTCACTAATCGGACCAATCTTTCAAACAAATTATGTATTTGATAGAAAAAGCCACAAATATTGAATTACCAATGGGAAGAGCCAAATCTTTCTTCATTAAAGCAGCAGCACATATGCCTCCTAGGTTGGCAAGTTCTTTCTCCAGCTGGATAATGCCCTAAAAACAGATTTAAAAAGAATAAAGTTATTTAAAAACAAATAAAAGTATAATGTAGATGCAGGACGCCAGATGGTCTGATGAATATTCATATTATTCCATAGTATATGCAACTGGGAAATAAACAGGGCAGTCAAAGGCTAAAACAGAGTATACATGGAGTTTTTTTTTTCTGTTCAATAAAAAATTAAACACTTACAGATCCTTGCATCCGCACAAGTGATGTGGGTGCAAGGATGTCTCCCCGCTACGCTATTGTATTCTGACAATATATTAAATACCTAAATATTCTATTTATAATAAAATATCTCTAACTAGTAGCGCTAGTATGCAAAAAAACTCTTATTGTAAAGATTTCGTATTGATTGATTCTATTTATGTGTATTGTATGTATTTAAAGTTGGTTTTAAACTTTGTATAGAGTTTACCACCAGTGTTAACCACTTGCCCTCGTAAGGATTTATCCCACTTCCTGACCAGGCCTTTTTTTTTGCTATTCGGCGCTGCTTTATTCCAACTGGTAATTGCGCGGTCATGCAATGCTGTCCCCAAACAAAATTTACACCCTTTTTTTCCCCCCACACAAAGCTTTCTTTCGGTGGTGTTTAATCACCTGTGCACTTTTTATTTTTTACGCTATAAAGAAGAAAAAAAAACACCTAAATTTTGAAAAAAAAAACACAATATTTTTTACTTTCGGCTATAAAAAAATAAACAGTAAACTCAAAGTTAGTCATAGATTTAGGCCAAAATGTATTCGGCTACATTTTTGGTAAAAATAATCCCAAGTGTATATTGATTGCTTTGTGTGAAAGTTATAGCATCTACAAACTATGGTATAGATAATGGAATTTACGCAGCTTTTACTTTGACTGCCCATCACATTTCTTTAGGTGCTAAAATACCAGGACAGTACAAACACCCTCAAATGACTCCTTTTCGGAACGTAGGACACCCTAATCTATCTGCTGAGAGGCATATTGAGTTCATGGAAGATTTATATTTTTTCCACAAGTTTTTGGAAAATTAACTTTTTTTCTTTTGTACACAAAGTTGTCACTTAAATTATATATTTCTCGAACAAGCCATGAGTATATGTGGAATTACACCCCAAAATACATTCTGCTACTTCTACCGAGTATGGGGATACCACATGTGAGACTTTTTGGGAGCCTAGCCACATACAGGAGCCTAAAATCCAATGGCCACTTCTGTGAAAAAAAGCTCCAAAAAAAAAAAAAAAAAAAAAAAAAAAAAAAAAAAAAAAAAAAAGGTAGTATTTAAATTTGCTAGTTCCACCTGAATTCCGGGTTGGGCAGTGAATGGGGGAAGTACGGGTGCTGCCGAACTTGTGGGCTACCAATCGGTATTTGCAAGCACATCCGGAAGGGCACTAGGGGCTCTACGGGCCTGTGTGCGAACTCTTGGTGGCCGCGGGACACTACTTGTGCTCGCCACCGCACCAGCTTGTACTGCATTTATGGGGCTCGCCACTTCACCAAGTGGTACTGCAGTGCTGGTACGTGAAAGACCAGGATGTACTAGGCTGCTAGTGCTCGCTAGTTCACCAAAAGGTAGAGCGGCACTATGAGAGTTATGCGATTACAACATCTCAGACACCTGAGAACGGGATCAGGTACACCTGATCTTAGCAGGGACCTCTTCTCCATCGTCTGAACTGTCAGGGTGCCTCTACTGTATACAGGTTCGTATTCTGAGGCTGATTGTGTCAGTGAGTTTTCCCCTTTGCTCTCATCTGACATGCTCAGAAACCTGTAGGTCTCTTTACTAGAGTACCTTTCGAAAGACATTTTGGCCACTAAAAATTTATAGGTACCTAGTGTGACTCACGGGAAAAAAAAGAGCACCTGGCTGTCAAGAACTGCTTGAACCGCTACAAAAAAAAAAATAAATAAAAATTACCGGCAAGCGCTAACAGAGATCAGGCCTGATCAAGTGACAGTGACCTACTGACACTGCACTACATGCTGGGGGACAAAGGGGGGGGGGGTTGGGGGTAAGCATAGGGGCTAAACGCAGGGGCTGGCAGGTGCCAGACCTGATACCACTAACGCTGCATTTTTGGAGACACTATACTAATGTGAACGCTGGTATATAGTGATGATCTGATCAAAGATATTGATCCGCTCAGACACTATACTAGCAATGGAGGATTATTGTATAAGTGAGTGTGTTCCTGGCAATCAAGGGGTTGTCTGTAATCACCGGGCACCGGCAGGTAATCACTAGCCGAGACCCGGTGATTGGCGGCCACGAATGGTGGAGCAGGTAGGGCTCGCGTGAGCCCCCTACCCGCAAAATCATGTGTATATATATATATATATATATATATACACACTTGTAATTTTGCGCACCCGTGCCGCCCTGTAGCAGTATTTCTGCTATAGGGCGGATATGAAGCAGTGAATGTATACAAGACAGAAAGTTTATAAAGTCTAGTTGCTGCTACTTTGATGCTAAATCAAGCAGTTTACATGATAAGCATATAGAGGAAGCCGCACAATTGATATGACGGATCTCCATGGTCATCTGTCAACACACTATTTTATATAAACCTGGCTAGTGTCACATGGCTCTATACCCTGAGGAAGTCACATGTTTAGAGATTAAACTAGTTGGGCGAAGCTGCTGACATTTCCTGATATGTGCAATTTGGAAATTTGGTGAGAAAACTCCAGGTTTCAGGTGGATGAGTGGTGAGGTCTCTTAAAGGAATCGCATATGAAAGTGACTGCAAAGAGCCAGAGGCTGATCCGCAGAAGGATACTCCCCTACCTAAGCGCTGTATGACCATATCTTGCAAGTGAATTAGTGTCTGGCATCACAGACCACAATATACTGCTTAGAATGGACATATTCTTCATATGTTGTACGATTAACACAACTGGTTGTAGGCATGTGAGTACTAATATGTTATTTTTGAGACTAGCATTCTCTGTGCATAACTGATTTACTGGTTTTTAAAAAAGGAACAGCACACCACTTTTTCCTATACATCAGGTTTTTGTTTAACTAGTTGCCGAACGCAGATAGCGGAATGACGGCTAAACTGCGGCCGGCCAGTTCTGAGTGGACGTCATATGACGTCCCCCCAGAACGCGCTCTCCTGCGCGCCCCTGGGGGCGCGCACCCGACGATCTCCGTGATCGCTGTGTCCTACGGAGACAGCTGATCACGTGATGTGGTAAAAGGCCAATCACAGCGGCCTTTTACCACGTGATCAGCGGTGTCCAATGACACGCTGATCAGAGGGAAATGCAAGTGCCGGTTCTCGGCTGCACTTTCCTCACGCTGTCAGATCGTGAGGAAAGTACTGCCGAGAACCGGCAGTTGTCAGAGTGGGGATCGGCACCGATCATCAGGGCACTGATGATCAGTGCCCTGATGATCGGTGCCCAGCAGTGCCACCCGCAAGTTCCGCCCACCTGTGCCCAGCAGATCACCCACCTGTGCCCACCAGTGCACCCACCTGTGCCCACCCACCTGTGCCCACCAGTGCTACCCACCAGTCAGTGCCCAGGGGTTGTGCCAGTCAGTGCCCACCAGTCAGTGCCCACCAGTGCCCACCAGTCAGTGCCCACCAGTCAGTGCCCACCAGTCAGTGCCCACCAGTCAGTGCCCACCAGTCAGTGCCCACCAGTGATGCCCACCAGTGATGCCCACCAGTGATGCCCATCAGTGATGCCCATCAGTGATGCCCATCAGTGCCGCCCCATCAGTGCCGCCCCATCAGTGCCGCCCCATCAGTGCCGCCCCATCAGTGCCGCCCCATCAGTGCCGCCCCATCAGTGCCGCCCCATCAGTGCCGCCCCATCAGTGCCGCCCCATCAGTGCTGCCTCATCAGTGCTGCCTCATCAACGTACACCAGTGAAGGAGAAAAAATACCTGTTTGAAAAATTTTATAATAGAAACAAAAACTTTTTTTTTTCAAATTTTTTGCACTTTTTTTATTATTTATAGCGCAAAAAGTAAAGCGCCCAGCGGCGATTAAATACCACCAAAAGAAAGCTCTATTTGTGAGAAAAAAATGATCAAAATTTCATATGGGTACAATGTTGCATGACCGCGCAATTGTCAAAGTGCGGCAGCGCTGAAAGCTGAAAATTGGCCTGGTAAATAAGGGGGTATAAGTGCCTGGTAGGCAAGTGGTTAATTGAATGAGTACACCAATTTGACGGTAGCTGCAGTTCCACATAGATTGCACAGCAGACTTTTCTATAGTTATTTTTTTGGTTGGATATCACAATTTTCAATAGTTCTATTACCTTTTTCAGGGGTTTTAGACACATAACAGCACATACGTATTTTGTTACATGAAATATCCTTTACCTAGTAAAATTGCAGTTGGCTAAAATATGGTGCACATTAGTTCTATACAAGTAGCTAATAAATGGTTTTGCTGAACTATTTCTCAAGTTTTTTTTTAGTTCTTGTTTTGGAGTGTTTGAATACCTCAATATTTGTTTATCATATATGGTTTACAATTTATATTCTCAAAATTGAAAATGCCACTAACCTCATCAAGTCCTGGGCTAAATTCATATCCGATAGCGAAACACTTGAACCCATAAAAACTAGCCTTTTCATCTTTAACATAATCTGATGCAGTTTCGAGTGAAAACAAAGCCTCATTGCCTGCAAATAAAAAATAAACATTTGGCATTAGCAGTCTAACTACACCCAAAATAAGAGGACATACATCAGGTTTACCAAAAGGCAAAAATACAAGGGGCATATCTTTCTAAAACTGTCAAAAATTTGAGAGGATACTGCCTACTTATCTCAAAGCACACAGAACTTACTTCCATGTCCTACCTAGGGAACCCCCAAAAATGGCCATACATGGTGATGCTTTTAGTTCATGGCAACATAAGATCAGCTCATTTTCTGGGATATAATGCCAAATTCAAAAAAATTTTTTTTTTTTTAAACTAAGGTTTCTCCCCACTGAACATTTAATATAAAAGAAAGCACCCTTTAACAATATTTCTTTCCTCCTACTCCTCTTGCAAGCACAGCTCGCATACAGTTACTCACCTAGAAAAAGACTAGTCTAGAATAAAGGAACGCAAGTAGGTTTTAAAAAGGGAGTCGTATCAACTTGGTGTACCAGAACAATGTGAAATGACACTAGACATCTCAACAATTTAAATCAGCAACTGCAGGGCCCTCAATCTCCTCATGTTTTGCATTGTATTGGTATTGTTCTGTCACATGTTCTGTCCCCCTTTGTAATGTACAGCGCTGAGCGAACTATTGGCGCTTTATAAATACTGTATAATAATAATAATAACAACTGTGGTCTATGGCTATACTTGTCAAAACCATTAAAGCAGCATCAAGAATTGTTACCTGGTAATATTAAGACAGCTGTTGGCCACCCAGAGGAGCCAGAAAATTTCTTGAGCTCAACCCAGGAGTTAAGGCTTTCATGAATAGGAAACTTTGGTCCAAAACCTGAGATATGTGCATTCCGACCTGGGATCAACAGGCGCAAAACATCTTCTGGCTGAGCGGTGCCACACTGAGGGTCAAATTCCACAGATATCCACCTCACACATTCAGGGAAAGATACCTTAAAAGCAGACAAAAAAAAGGTCTTGATGTAATATAAACAAACCCCGGTTCACAAATATGCAAATTGGATGAGTTTTGTACAGCATCCGACGTGAACCAAAAGGATTTTTTATGAAGCTGGTTCACATATGTGAGGGCTGCAATGCGATTTTAAAATTAGTCCGGTCCGATTTTCAGCCCACCATAGGTGCAATTTCCAATGTCACACTCTAATTCACACCTGAATCCCGCTTGAACCGCTGCACAAATTCGCACCAGACAGGGCTTGAAAACGTGCTGCAAACCAGCCCTGCAAATATGTGAACACAGGCTTACACAAGAACAGGAGCTTGTTTAGCAACATTGTTTTAGCCCTGGTACACACCAATGTGACCCCAAAGTCGTGCAATTTTAAGTCCAACTTTGCTGTGCGACTTGTTGCCACCGCAGTGTGACTTCAAATAATACACCCAATGCAAGCTGCAACGAAGTCGCACAAAAGTAGTGCAGGACCCTTTTTGGAGTCATTGTGACTTCAGTCACAGCGATTAAAACGAGGCCATTGAAAGACATGGGACGCGTCTTGTCGTGTGAAGTTGCAGGTCGCATTGGTGTGAACCAGGGCTTACTCTGTAAATCATTTCAAATTTCTGGCCAATTAGATTGATAAAGTATTAACCTCTTGTTGCCCAAGCCAATTCTGACACTTTTCACAAGTAAAATAAATTTTTTTAAACTAGATAATTACATTGAACTCCGAAACCATATATATTTTCTAAAAGCAAATGGCCTGCAGAATAAAATGGTGAGTGATGCATTTTGTGTGCCACACAATATTCTCACAGCAATTTATCAAACGCAAATTTTCAGAACAAAATACACTTTAATGAATTTTAGTGCACACAAAATATAATCACCCATTTTTTGGTAAAATATAAAGAATGATGTTACACTGAGTAAATAGATACCCAACATGTAAAGAGTTAGAATTGTGCACATAAGTGGAATGGTGACAAACTACAATATCTAAAAATCTCCATAGGCGATGCTTTCTAAGCCTTTACAGGTTGACAGTTCAGAGTTAAACAAAATGTCTAGTACTAGAATTACTGCACTTGCTCTGACATTCGCGGCAATACTTTACATGTGTGGTGTGATCACTATTTACATATGCATGCAGGAACTAGGTGTTCGCATCTGTGCATGAGCAAAGGAGCACTTTCAATTTTAAAAACTTTTTTTTTTAAATCAACTTTGCTATCACAAGGGGTAAAGCTCACTAGTTATAGCATAGGATTTGACAGGTAGTCTTTACTAAAGAGATTGGGGGTCTATTAGAGGAGAGGATCTCTCCTCTGGCCTCAAAAGCATCTGATCAAACAGTTCGGTTTGATCAGATGCTTTACAAGCCTCTTAGCTACTTATAGCTTTGGTTAACAAACCAAAAAAGGAAGTGGCAAAATCCTTGTCGCTTTTGGTTTCATTCACCACAGAAGAAAATCAGGGAATGCAAGTTTCCCCAGCTCTATGGTAAGCTGACCCAACCAACTACACATGCCCAGTCCTCCTTGATCAGGCAGCTGTATAGCCACTCGGATCATTTTTACATAAAAGAGCATCTCTGGCTCTAAAAAACAAATACAGGATCATGGCTGCAGCTATGACCCTGGCAGAACCACTGAAACCATTTAGTAGAAACCAGAGGACATGCAAGTATGTCCATTTGCTGGAAATGGTCAATAAAAACAAAATTTTAAATTTAAAATTTTAACTGTAAAGAGTGTAACAAAATAGGAAGAGACCCCTTTAGAAAGGACATGCATTTAGCTTTAGCAATGATGTATAAAGCAAGCAAACATATACCTTATATTGCATCACACTGGCTGCTTTATACGGGTGCTCACTTTCCACCACAGCATAGTGACTGGAGGTAGTACACGCAGAGAGCTGCTCAGGTTGATTGCCAGTTGTGCTGTCTGTTGATTGGTTTGGATTAAAGAGAGGTGGGGCATATTTTTGGTTCAAAATGGCAACTGATGGGAGTAACTGCTGCACAAGACCAAAAACTTCAACAGCAGCCTGTGAAAAGAAAAAAAAAAAAAAAATGTAACCATGTCAATAAATTGTTAAGTATCACAATAAATCACAGCTACAAAATACTAATTTACACTTTTCAGACAGTTGCATGCTTCTAAACCTGTAGCAACAGTTTGGGGAAGGCTTTTTTCTGTTCTAGCATGATACAAAATTCAAGGTCCAAAAAGACTAGTTTAGCGTGAAAGAATAAGAGTGACCTTCAAAAATTGCTGACCACAACTCTACTGAACATCTTTGGGTTTTACTGGAACACCACATGTGAGCCAGGTCTTCTCATTCAAATGCAGTCGCTAAGTCTAAATAACATTTTGGCTGAATGGGAAAAAATTCCCAGACATGCATGGGGTAATGAGATGTTAAAGCCTAAGTTTAGTAAAAGAAAAAACAAAACAAAAAACAATGGACATTACTTACTATCCGCGTAATTTGTCCCTTGTGTTGTCATCTCCTGGTTTAGTAGAAATCCTCACCCTCCTCTGACCACCCCCCTCCCCCCCACCCCTGCAGCCTTAATCTTCCGGGATGGTGGAGTTAAATGGAGCTGAGACAGGCAATCATGAGTGTCTAACTATTCCCACCCATCCTCTCCATTCACACAGGTTCCATTATAGATGCGTCTATAAATGAAAAAATGATGTACAAAAGGACGACAGGCAGATGACTGAAATGCCTGCCTTCTAAACCACAGACCGTAAGACAAGGGACACAACATAGTGATAATGACTAAAGTTCCTTGTGCTAATTTTTTCATACTAAAAGGAGGCTTTAAACAAGCTAATAAAAAAAGATCATGTTTCCACCAACCTTTGGTAAAATGTACCTACTACACATGCTATTTTGATTTACATGTTGTCTGAGATGTCTACACCCACATACAATTCAAAATTTCAGACAACCACTACAGGTTTTTTTTTGTGGGATTCGCTCAACCAAAAGGCATAGCAACCAATAACTGCTTGCCTTAGTAGAACACAGAGAGAAGACTAGTTGATTATAAATAAAAAGGCAGACACTTGGCGCCCGGGGATTTGGGGGGGTGTAAACAAAACAAAACAAAAAAAAAACTTTCTAGCAATACACCAAACTAAGCATGTGCAGCTTGCCCCCACAGCTCTGTTCTATCAGCAGATGGATTGGGGACAGTAGAAGGAGAGGATCAGAGAAGACCAGGTGATAGTTTTTTTTTTTTTACAAAATGCAGAGGATAAACCCCTTAGGTTTCCCAGCGAGTATAAAAAGTATGTTTTAATGCATATACAGACTGATTTTACTGTTGTGGGTTTAGTAACACTTTAATCGCAGCAGGAAGATGACATGCAGCTCCCACAATAGAAACAACCTGAAGAGTGCCAGGCATGATGGTGGGGAACATGCCCCATCAAGATAGTCTTTTCCCCCCCTCAGTGGGAGTACTGCAGGCCTGGACCCATAATGAACTCTGTGGCTTACTCATCCAGTACACCAGGTGTCTTGAAGAGCACCCACAGCAGAACCCAGTGCCTTAAAGTTGCATCACCACACCTTCAGCATGGCAGGGTACAGATGCAGTCTCCAAGACTATGCTGAGGATAAGGTGATCTGGAAAACTGGATGAATACATTCTGGTTCTGCAGTAAATGAAAGTCTTTATTAAAGAAGGGGGTTGCTGCCGGCGCTCCTGGCTCCTCCCTTTCAAGCAGTGCCCTCAGGGAAAACCGCTCACCCCGGGGGCACTGCAGCTTGCTTGCCCCCGAGCCGCTGCTCTGTGTGTCCACATAGACACAGAGCTGCAGCTCGCCCCACCTCCGGTCTCCCACTGGCTTACTGGTTGTGAGTGACAGCAGTGGGAGCCAATGGGCTTTAGCTGCTGTCTCAGCCAATGAGGAAGACTCCACAAAGAGCAGAGGCTGTCAAGAACGTTGCTAGATCGGAGGGGGCTCAGGTAAGGATTGGGGGGGCCCGCTGTACACAGGTTTTTTACCTTCATGCATAGGATACATGAAGGTAAAAAACCTTGAGCCTTTAGAACCACTTTAAAGAGTCTAGAAGGAAAAAAAAAAAAATCTGGGATAGGAGAGGGAGAGGTTTTATTTGGCTAACAGCTTAGTTTTCCTAGTGTTAATCTTCTGTAGGCAGCAAAAATAACCCATTTTGTCTCAGAATGAACTCTGTGTACTCTAACAAAACGATAAAAAGGTAAAAAAAAAAAAAAATGAACAAAATTCTTTAAAAAGGTAAATTGTTAATTGAAGATTTTATTTTTATCAATAAAACTGGCATGACATTTAAAAGGGGAACTGAGGAAAGAAATAAGAGCGGTCATAGCCAACTATGCTTTAAAGGTGTGGGAATCTCTACCTAGAGGAATTATTGATTTAAAAAAAATAAAAAAACGAAGGCATGCCACCAACTAAATCTGAAAAGCGTGTACTGCCTTCTGCATCCTTGTTACTCCACAAGTATGTCACATGAAAGGGGGGAATAAGGAACACTGTTCTGCATAAACACATAGAACCTACATTTAATTATGTATGCATAGAATAATGTTTTCAGTTTGATTTTAACTTTTTTTTTTGTACAAGACTTGTTCTTACCTTTGGGATAGCAGCTGCTACTGGTCCAATGTAAGCTATTAACAGGGGAAGCAGCATAGAAAATAGGCTGGAAGAACTAAGCAGTTCTGGAATGTCATCAGCTATAAAGAAAAAACATTACATTTAATACAACTTTATTTAAAAAAATACTGGATAAAAATCACTCATAGGGAAAAAAGGAATGTGACCACAACTTTTATAGTGATGTCTGACGTTATCTAACCAAGCCAAGCCAGATGACCCACACATTTGTAGATCAGAATCTCTGAATAAGGAAATATACTACTCTGCTAATCTGTATTTCAGCAATGTTAGACATACAGTGTGTGGTAGAGAAGTCAAAATGCTTATAATATCATAGCTGCGTTAAGCATTTACAAACACAAATCACTCTAGATTTAATTGAAATTCTCACCATCAACAGCAAGCGCTCTGTGTAGCAGGTCCTTAGCAGCTCTGGTTACAGCATTGATCACTGAGAGGGCCCGGCTGCAGTTTTTGTCCTCTTCATTGGCTTTACTCAAAAGCTGTGACTGAAGGTCTCCATCATATTCACTCCTACAAAAGAAAAAACAAATGCAGCATACCTCAAAAAAATGTTTTCATGGGAAAAAAAAAAAAAAAAAAAAAACAAACTGTGCCCAACTGCAGCCAGGTTAGAGATTTCTTTAACTTTATTTTTTTTAATTAATTGCCAAGTCAGTCAGGTACCCATCAAATAGAATAAAATCTCCTAAAACGTGACAAAGCATAAAAATGTAGGATTTTTAGTTTACCTGTAAAATCTTTTCTTTGAGTACATCACGGGACACAAAGGACTTCATAACTACTTAGGTTATGCTGCCACCTTCTGGTAAAGGAACACTAGCATGTCTCCGCCCAGCTTTGTAGCAAGCAATGAGGGACAAAAAAGGGGAGGGATTACTGGGAACTGTAATACAATTAAGAAAGATTTATGGTCCACCTGTAAAAATCCTTTTCTTGTATTGCCCATCAAAGGATGCAGAGGTGTTCATATTCATGACTATTTGGGATGTCCCAAAACACTGAACAGATGGAGGAGTGGACAACACAGCAACAAGGCCAAAACTCAATAACAGAACCATACTACAAAACCACCTCCAAGACCCTTCACCATAAACAGGCACTTATAGAGTCAACTACCTGGTAGAGCATAGCAGAACGTGTGAAGGGAAGATGAGGTAGCAGTCTTGCAAACTTGCACAGAAGTATGATGCCCTTAATACCATAGGCCTGGACAATAAGCTGATGAATCCACCTAGAAATAGTGAATCAAGGAGGCATCCTGACCCTTTCAAGGACCCGGAGGTAGGACAGAGACTCAAGACTGTCAGAATGAAGCTGCAGACTTCAGATAAAATTCAAACAGAACAAACATCCAAAGAGTGAAGCACCTTCTCCTTGGAATGCTTAGAATTAGGAAAAAGATGGCAGTACAATGTCTTGATTAAGGTGGAATAAAGAAACCACCTTGGGTAGAGAAGAAAACAAAAAGAAAAGAAAAAAAAAAAAAAAAAATAGGGGAGGACCGAGGCCTCAATACTACCTAATCCTGGTGAAGAACCAGGAGTTGAAGGAGCCAACTCTGAAACCATGCAAGTTGAAGCAACCAAAGACAACCTTATGCACAAATGAAAAGGTAATCTCGCAGAGACGCTCAAATAAGTCTGCAAACAGACCAGATCAAATTAAAGCAGAACTAAAAGCCAATTTTTTATTTCAAATTTTGGATAGAGCAATGGTGAGTTATAACCCGTCAAATTTTGTTTGGTCATTTGTGTTCTATTAGGGAGACTCACTTCCTGATTTGGCTATGAAATAAGTGAAAGGGAGGAAATCCCTCCAAAAATCAGCAATTCCGTCGCAAGAACTAGTGCCCCATTGAAAGATTTCACCTCTATTAATGTTCTGGGGACAACTCAAGATTTGGAATTTCTTTAGTTATACTTCAAAGGTTCCATGGCGGTAGAGCAGCCTACACAGGCAGAACAATCCACGTATCACCCTGGATAAAACTTTTTACCATGGAATATGTTATGGGTCTCTCTGAAACAAAATAGCCAGGGTCAGGATCTGCCCCTTAATGGCACTTAAAGCCATAAAAGACTTCGGATTACTTTCTCATACTTTACTGCTGCAGAACAGACCATTGCAAGCTCATGGAGAAAGCTGAATATATCATTTGAAGTGATAAATATCATCTTCGTGCATGACATACAAGAAAACAGCAGTCACACTGGTTAATTAAGATGCCCACATTCCTGAAAAATTGGAACCTGTAAAGTACCCTGCCAGTGAGGTCACTTGGTACACAGTACCCAGAAGATCAGTGCCCACAGGATCCAGTGCTTACCATCAACATTACAGGCCATCTCCCCTTAGCCTACAGACAAGGGGGGATTGTAGATTGATCATGGTACAATTCCCCCCTTGGCCTACAGACCAAAGTGACCAATCCAGATGAAACCCATCTCTGCCCAGGGGTGTTTAGAATGGGCCAATTCAGGTCAGTGTCCATTCACCTGAAATGGCATAATCCTAGTCAATAGGAAGTCCTTTATGTCATGTGATGTACAATTAGGAAGGATAACATGCAACACTTACCCAGTGAATTAAAAACCTGAAACCATAACCATGTTAGTGATTTACCTGCCAAAGGATTTGCATTTCTGTAGACATTCCGAAGATTTCCACCTATTTGCCAGGCTGGTGGACCCAACATTTTTTGTGCTGCAGTTAATATATAGTCTGGCCACTTTCCAACCCCCCCAACCTTTCAACAAACACTGAAGGGGCAAAGAAACCAAAAACCCCACACTGGTGAGGCCATGTCCCTTGTGCTCACAAGGAACATGCTGTCATGAAGAGACATGTGCATGCAGGATACCCAACTGCCTGAGTGCTGCCTCTTCCTCTCCCATAAACAATGTTGCAACACAGGACTACAGAAAGCTGAAATTCCACAATTACCCCTAAGTTTATTTTTAACTATTGTTTAACCACATTCATTTTATGTGCCTGGAGTTCAGCTTTAATATAGGGCACAAGAACACATACAGATACGTATCTTTACACGGCAAAACAAACCTGTAGTATAATACTTGAGGGATTTGTCCTCTGGTTTGATTTGTACCATTACTGCTTAAACTGCAGGAGCTGAAAGTAAAGGTCACACCATCAGGGCACTGAACAGTTGTCATTCCACCATCCCCATTAGCTGTGCGACTTCCATAATTTCTCAAACGCACTGCATACTTTGTGTTCTCCTGAAAAACACAACAAAGATGCAGACTGTAGTCTCATGAAAATCTGTTCATTATGATTGTGATTTTGGGGTACTCTTCACACAAATTAAGAATAAGTACATTAGTGTTTTTCTATCATAATATGCACCCCTAAATACAGGAGTTTACTATGTATAGCCTACTGTGTGACTATTTAGCTTCAAATGTGTGCAAAGTTTGCACAGTACTTCTCTGTAATACAAGCATTTTTTCAATGTTTTGTCCCTTTAAAACACAATTCAAGTACAGAAAAAGAACTCATGTTTATACCTAAACACTCCAATTTTTTTTTTTTTTTTTAAATTGGTTATAAAACGTATTAAAAAAAACAACCAATTTCTTCATAAATGTAGGACAAAATGTTTTCTGCTAGGTTGTCGGTATATAAAAAAAAAAAAAAAAAAAATTCCCAATAAGTGTATATTAGTTTGTGTGAAAGTTATAGTGTTGAGAAACTATATATACTGGAATTTATGCAGCTATAGACACTATACCTGTAATGGTGATGATCAATGACTGATAGAGTGTGAGCAATCTGGCGCCAACAGACCCTCTCTGGGAGGTGCACTAACTGATCACTGAATCAATGACACTGGCTGGCAAAAAGGAGTTATCAGGGGAAGATGAAGGGGTCAACTGTGTGCCTAACAAATGTAATGTGTGCTGCTTTTACTCAGATCTGGCTGTTTTTTTTTTTCTCCCTGCTTTCCAGATAGCTCAGAGTTTTGTGAGCTTGTAAACAAAGAACTCTGTGCTGTGACAGGACACAGCCGATCAGCAGGTTTCAGCCAAAATCATTGGCTGAAACCTGCTAACTCATGCTGTGTCCACTCACAACATGGGTCAGCAGAGTGCACACGCACGCATGTGCCTGAAAACCTGTAAGCAAGCAGCAACATACATGTACGTTACCTAGCCAGCAGCTGCCATCCGCTCGCAGGAAATGAGCTGTGAGCGGGTGGCAAGAGGTTAAAAAAAAAAAAAAAACACACCTCCACCTAAGAACTGTACTTGAATCACGTCCAACAGATCACCCCATGTATCACCTCCCCCTTCCTTTAGATTGTAAGCTCTACGAGCAGGGACCTCCTATTCCTTCTGTACTGAAATGTAATTGTAATTGTAATTGTACTGTCTCCCTTATATTGTAAAGCGCTGCGCAAACTGTTGGTGCTATAAAAATCCTGTATAATAATAATAATGCACACACTTAAAATGCAATAGCTCTAGTGTGTTGAGTCAGTAAATAACAGTGAAAGCTGGATAGTATTTTAATAAACTATTAATATGTTTTTTACCATACTATTAATATGCTTTTACCTTCAGAGGAACAGCTTTGTCCAGCCTAATTTCAGCAATATCACTTGGTGAATCATCAGTTGTGTAAGTGCCTTTGACAAGCTCCAATGAAGTCCACCTATGAGAGTGTCCTGCATCAGCAGAATGGTCACTCTAAACAGAATTGAGAGGTGGAAAGTTAGAATAAAAAACATTTACATACCTGCATGCAAAATAAAATGTTTGTATTTCTTCTCATTTCCAATGTTGAAAGAAGGAGCTTACTTCATGCCACAAAACCCAAGTGTTCTATTAAACTATTGCTGTAAAATCAGTATCCTTAATATAAAAGCCAAGTTAGAGTTTTGTTTTCATATTTCCACTTTCCCTTGAGGGTAATTGTCTCAAGTAAGTTTGCCACAGAGGTAGAGATTTTTCCTCCCCTTTCCTCTTCCGCTCAACTGGACAAGTAGATTATACAAAAATGAGTGTGCAATTCCCTAATCAGTCTTCCTTCTGCAAAACACTATAGTGCCAAGTGCCTGCTCTCCTATCCATATCCACATCCCCTCCCTTACCTTCCACACCCTCTGATTGCCCTACTCCTGACCAATGTACACCTGCACAGATCAATTCACTCCTGGCCAATATACCCCTACAAAAACTTTGCTCCCTCTGCAGACTGTGGCTGCAAGCTCAAGGCAAGTATGGATCTGGGAAGGGCCAATAGTGTTCACTTGATCATTTCCTGATACTGGCACTTGATTCTCAGTGGGCATGCCAGCTGATTGAAAGTATGCAGCCACCCAAAATGTCAGCTGCTTGCTCATAAAAAGGGAGGAAGTCTGCAAACTTAGCACAAGGCTTTCTGTTGTAGAATGTTAATAAATAGATTCACAAAAGGGGTCAAGCACACAGCTAAAACAAGATGGGAAAAAAAAAAAAAAAAAAAAAACCACACACAACAGCTTTTATTTGATTATGATGTTCATACGGTTTCTAAAGCAAGGAGATATACAAGGAATAAAAAAGACATTGTTTAAGCCATTTTATTTAAACATACATCATCTACCAGGACCTCCAGCTCATACTCATGGATTCCACCTCCACCATAGACACAGAATCCGACAACAACTACCCCAAGTTTGTCAACCGAGAAGCAGATTGCATCGGGAGATCCATTTCCAGTGTTCCAACTTCTACCTTGGCTCGTTTTAGTGAAACGGTTAGGACTGGACTTCACCGAATGCAGAGAATTTAAGCCATCAACCTAATATTAAGAAAAAGATACTACGCATAAATATATCCCACACAAAAAGTATCATATACATACAAACACACACACACGTCTACCTCGGTTTACGAATTTAATGCGTTCTCCGGGACATTTCGAATTGCGACAAATTCGTAAACCGAAACACGGTTTCTCATAGGAATGCATTGAAAACCAATTAATCTGTTCTGGAGGTCAGAAAAAAAAAAAAAAAAAAAAAAAATTGCCATCACTATAGGTCAGTGCCAGTTTTTAAATGTAATTACCGGCTCTTTTTTTTCTTCACTATAGCTCAGAGAATCAGCTGTCACTTTCCCCCCAGCAAAAAGAAAGAAAGTTTCCTTTTAGTTTATTTCCCCGAGTTAAAAGAAACAAGTTTGTTTCCGAGATAAAAAAACAAAGTATCTTTTAGCTCCGGGGAAAGTGACGGCTAATTCTGTAAGCTATAGTGAAGAAAAAAAAAAGCCGGTAATTGCAATAAAAAAAAAAAAAAAAAAAAAAACAACAGCACCGACATACACTTCGTATTGCAAAAAACAAATTCATAAACCGAGGCATTATTTTCATTCGTAAACCGAAAATTACGTTAACAGAGGCGTTCGGAAACAGAGGTACACCTGTATATATGCATATATGCACACACACACACACACACACACACACACACACACAGGATATACTGTAATTAATTGAGCAATATAATTCTAACTGTACGGTGCAATCGGACAATCTATGGGTTTAACTGGTGAAAAACAACCAATTTCTCAGTCTATGTGTAGGATATGGAATTCAACAGCCATTGATAGCAAATACACCATTGTAAGCCTTGCCTACATATTTAGAAAGACATCCCTTAGTGGTAGTTGGTATAAAAGGGGACAGGGGTTTAACATTAAGCCACCTAAACTTTTGCTTTCTGCAGATAAACAAGTAATAAAAACACAGCTGTCATGGTGTGTTTTAGAGATACAACAGTATTACGCGAATATAGAAAAATCACCACAGTTGCACTGGCACTTCTAAAATAAATTGTTCAACAAAAATCATTTTTAAAATCTTTTATATACATACAGGCTTTTATGCGGATTATATGTAATTTTTAAAAGTATTCACTAATAAATAGCAACTGTACCTCTGATCCAAGAGCAGATGCTGTCAGTTCACTGACAATACTGGCCAGGAGACCACATGTGTTTGATACCAGGTGTGAAGAAAAGAGTTCATGTTCCCTGCGTAAGCTGTTCCTTACAGGCAGCACAACAATGACCAACATCTTCTCCAGAACTTCCCGGAAGCTGGTCATTCCAGAAACATTCTCCTCGCTCTAAAATTAAAAAAAAAAAAAAAAATAATACACCACCACTTCCTATGAGCAACTATGGATTAAGAAATTATTCAGCCAGTCATGAAGCATGTCATAATGAGATAGGAATATACGTTCATAAACAGAAAATACATCTACATTTTAGGCATATTGGTTTACTGGTCCTGGGGATTTTTCTATTTCTAAAAAAAATAGAAATAAAATTATACGCACACATAGTACTGCACAGAGCAACAGCCGATTGTAATTATGGGAAGACAAAGCAAGTACAACATTACGGTACAAAGAATATTGGAAGAGAGACTAAGGTAAATAGGAGTAGAAAATAGGAAAATAAGGAGAGGGAGAGGTAGACAAAATTATACAAAAGATAGAAAAGGAATGAGAGTGGAAAAAAAAAAAAAAAAAAAGAAGAATGGATGGGACCGTGAGACAGCCAGACTCATCACAAATGTGATTTACTTAATAGCCATGGTAGAGGCTAATGGTATAAATGCTACCCCCTCGGGGAAAAGGCACTGAGAAACAGAAACTTTATACCACAAACAGGAACTACCTTTCCTCTGTCATTTTAGTGAGATGCTACGATGTTGCTTTAGCATCTCCCATAGTTGTATATGCCAACTCCATCTTTCTTTAGATTCTCTAGAACTTGGTATGAGGTATTAAAGGGGATCCTGGTCGACCCCTGGCCTTAAAATCAGAAGACTTTGCTACCACTCCTCAAAAATGAGAAGCACAAGCAGACATCCTCTATCCTAATGGTGTGTGCAGACTGAAGTTTTCTAATCATACACGGATCGTGATCTAGGTGCTTCAAAGTCTGGACATGGAGGCACGATTATCTTTCATTCCAGAATGAAACCGCAACCTTCAACATCACCATTCTACAAGCAGCAGTTACTTCTTTTGTGGATTAGTGTGCCAACACATATATTGGGCCCCACATCAGCCAGAAAGTCATCCAACTGCCCTCTCCCCCGGTCACCCAGTGGGAACAGCCAGTCTGCAGCATTGCTGGCAATCTACAATAATTAAGTAGATAATTACCAATCTCTATGGTTCTCAGAGTTTTAATCCTCCAAAATCAAAAAGGTTAATGCCTAGTACACAAGATGAGAAAATCGGACGAAAAACACCGCTTTTTAAGCGATCGTCCAATAATCTGCTCATTTGTACACAGCTTTTGAGAGCCGATCACGACAGTTCATGCAAAATTATCCAAAGGTACAAGCCTGAAAATTTTTCTTAAATGACAACAGAACAAAAATGGGGGAAAAAAAAAAAAATTGAGCGACCAAGACAACACATGCTTAGACAGAAGAGAATACATTACAAATCGTTACATCACTTCCGAAGTTGTATTCTGTCGTACCAGAATTTTCATAACCTCCTTATTTTTGATACAAGACTATCATGAAAAAAAAAAATTTAAAAAAAAAAAAAAAAAAAACCCAAACCATCATTTGTCCGTTAGTCTCATCATGTGTATGAGACTTTACTCTCATACTTGTACACACCCATTAGCTGACACCGGAATGTACCTTTTTTGTCTAGGACGTAGACATGTAGGCATCCTTTCACCAAGGCAAAACATCTAATGTTTAATTAACATCTAATGTGTGGCAATTATTACCTCACACCTGCACAGGTGTCAGCCCAAACTCCATTTCATCCTGGTCTGCTTTACCAGACATTCAAGGCACGTCAGTCCTTTCTGTAAAAGTTTCTATAGTGCTCGCAACAGCACCTACCTTGTCTGTCACCCCCTATATTATCAGTTTAATCTCCCCAATTCAATTTGGAAAAAAAAAGCGGTCTTGCTCAATGCACTCTCTTCCTGGTACTTCGTTTACAGAAGATGCTCCCTAGTACATATGCCTACTAATTAGCTCATCAATAACATGGTGCCAGAGGAATGGGAACTGGCAGAGAAAAGGTTTTATTCATCCAAGGAGGTTACAGTTGATAATTCAAAGCCAAGTTTGAACATGACAGACCTACTGCAATGGATGCCTGTGTTTCTAAGACAACCATTTAACTACTTTCAAATGCAGCCTATAAGGATCTGCTGTCCCATATAGTTTGGTGCATTTTGCAGAGCATTAAAAAGGCATCTATTTCATTACTGGAATGGCATGCAAATAAGCCTTTTGTCACAAATTACTCAATTTTTATCTACTTTGGGGCATTAAAGGGACTATAAAATGGAAGAAAAAAACAAAAATCCATTAGCACTACCCAGGGGAAAAAAAAAAAAAAAGAAAAAGAAACTTTACCCTACTTGTCCTGCAGCACAGCTGCAGAAACATTACTCTATAGGACAGCTGTCAGTGCTGACCATGTTCAACCCCTTGGGCTGGTCAAACAGCAAGTTCCCCCAATGGCCATTGTAGATCCCAATGTAGACCCTTAAGCAGGACACAGTAGTGACATAGGGTCATTGGGAGGAACAGTGGCCAGCAGTGAGCACTAAACACAACTGAAAGTCTGGAGTAGAATTCCTGCCAACAGTCCTGCTACAAAACAAAGTTTTAGTGAACAGGTCACAGGACAGGTAAGAAAGAAGGCGTTTCCATTAGATTTAGCACTAGTTTAAAGCGTTACTAAACCCAGGACCCTGCATTCACTATCTGGTCTCCCACAGTACACACAACATGGAAATGCAATTATTTTAGTAAATATAAATTGCTAAATACCTTTTCCCATCAGCAGTTAGAGCAGTCTTGTGACTTCTATCAGTGTCCAGCAGAACACTGGTTGAAGCTTGCAGGAGGAGTTTTTTTCTGCTCTTGGAGGATGAAAAACCCCTAACCTCTTTCTGGACAGTGCCGATTGGCCCTGTGCTGATAACTTGCACTCGCAAGAAGAAAAAAAAAAAAAAAAAGCTTTAGCAATATACAGCAAACTGAGCATGTGCAGAGTGTCTCCACACTGTCTTATCAGGAGATAAGAGGGGGGTGCTAGAAGGGGAGGATCAGAGAAGTTAGGATTAAACTATTTTTACACAATGCTTATAATTAACCCCTTAGGTTCAACAGAGTATAACAAGCATGCTTTACTGCCTATACAGACTGATTTTACGGTTGTGGGTTTAGTAACACTTTAAAGTGGTTGTAAAGGCAGCTGGTTTACCTTCATGCATTCTATGCATGAAGGTTAAAAAAATAAACCACAAACAAAAAAAAACACACACATACACACACAGCCTGTGTGCAGCAGTGCCCCCAGCCCCCTCAATACTTACCCGAGAGTCTCATCGTGATCCAGCGATGTGAATGACAACCTCAGCTGTCCCGGGTCTCTCCTGCCTCATTGGCAGAGACAGCAAGCAGGAGCCATTGGTTCCCGCTGCTGTCATTCACAGCCAGTGAGCCAATGAGGAGAGAGAGGGGACAGGGCCAAGCTGTGGCTCCGTGTGTGAATGCACACATAGCAGCGGGTGCCTGCATAACAAGCTGCTTGCTGTGGGGGCACCCAACAGGAGGGAGGGGCCAGAAGAGCCTGCGGGGGACCTGAAAAGAGAAGGGTCTGGGCTGCTCTGTGTAAAGCCACCACACACAGCATGTAAGTATAACATTTTTTTTTTTTTTTTGTGGAAAATAAAGTTAACCTTGAGAATCGCTTCAATTTAAATCCCCGACAGGGTCACTTAGATGGTGTTCCTCTTAAATATCTCACTTGATGAAACAGATCTATTGAATGAGGGACAATTAAGATGTGTAGCATTACACTCCGGATACTAGGCAATCAAGGCGTATGTCAAAGCAATAGCAAACCTGGATCTTATTCCAAATTCTTCACCTAAACTCTCACATCCACCTAGCTGTGCCCTATTTCTGCTTGGCAAAAAGGGATGAACACTTCTCTTATTCCTTTCAAAAAAACACCTCTGACTGGACTCTTGATTTTGAATAAATCATTCCATAAATATGCATAGCCTCATTGAACCTTTCTTCAGTATCACAGAATATATCATAGTTTTCCAGGGACTCTAAGCTTTATTTGCATAGCTCCAAGTTAATTAGACTGGGGTAGATGGAAAATGTTGGTGAACAGAGAAAAGAGGGATTGACATTTGCTGGAGACTTGTTATGAATGGGCAAAAGGGTGTCAGAAATGGAAGTTGTGGGTGGTGTTGCCATAAGGTATGCTGCTCAGTTGGAGTACTGCAAAAGCCTCTCTTGCTCACTGGGACCACAGAGCTGCATGGGGGCAGTGGCACTAGGATGGACATGTGTGGGAGGCAAGAAGAGAATGTACAGGAAACCAAGAGTCAAAGCTGGCCTGTGTACTTGGAGTGGAAGCTCGATGCATGTAGGTATTCTGTGGGGGAATGGATGTTAACAGGGTAGGGCAGCCAGGGGAATGTTGGCCAGTGGAAACCAGAAATACATTGTTTCCAGTTAGTGATTAGTATTTCCGGCCACATTCCTGAGCCTTATTTTTAACACCAATAAGAGAATAGAACATGTGACAATATGCTCAGGAATCCAATGTCAAAGTCATATAAAGCAATGTACTTGCATTCCTTTTCAAAATGTGGGAAAGAAAACCTATGCAGACCTGACTGAGTTTCTCCATTGCTGAAACCAGCAGAGGGAAGCGGTGAGCCAATGCAGTGTCATTTTCTGTGCTGACTTGTTTCACCATGGAGCGAAGTAGAACTTCACCATCATAAGCGATAGGAAAGATGGATGTAAGCTTCACAGAAGTGTGACACAGGGCAGACATGACTGCTGCTAGCAGGCGGCTGCTTGAGGTTTTAAAATTTGCTTCCTGGATGTCCTAAAAAAACAAAAAAAACACAAAAACACAGAAATGTCATTATACCTCTGTTACAGAAACAAGAAATTCAATATTTAATCACTATGCGAGATACTGTTTGGCAACGTTTTTGGAACATAGCTTACTCACATTTACAAATAAGTTTCATCAAAAAAAAAAAAAAAAAAAAAAAAAAAAAACACAGAGAGCGTACTATAACTTATATCTAACAAGAATAAATAGAGTACTGTCCATGGTACTTTATATGCACCCAACATCCAATTTTTCCTGACAAGCTTTTGGGGTGTATGAACACACCCAAAAGCTTATCCTGAAAAAATTGGATGTTCGTGCAAATAAAAAAAAAAAATTGAATTATGGACTGTACTCAACTGTTCTTGTTGCAAGTGAACTAAAACAGCTACAAATCACCTCAAGCATTAATATATCTAAGAAACTTGCATCATGTAGAATCCTGAAAAGTGATAGCTTACCTGATCCAAACAGTTGAGCAAGTCACACAAACATGCCCACTGGAGGGCAGGAGTAGGATAAAAAGAGTGGAAACAGGCTGTAAATGTGTTATGACATTCTTGCAGAACAGCTTCAAGCAGACTTAACGGCTGGCTGAGATATCCTTGAGGGTCATTATCCAGTTTTGTCATGCAGTTGTCTACACCTTCAGAAAGGATTTTTCTAAGCAATGTCCTGGTTTTTCCAATGCATTCAGCCAGTTTGGTTGTTTCGTCTAATACAGCCTTCGTGGAAGCTAAATTAAAAATATAAGATTCTGAGTGGATTACCAAATTTTACATGGGTGGATATAAGCAAAAAACCATTAAGTATATTAGACTGTGTAGGCACTCACATGGTAAATTGTGCAAAACCTAACAACAATGTTAAACATGAAGCACCAAATTGGCAACAGCCATTTTAAAATTTCCCTTTTTTGTACTTTTTTTTTCATCTGTAAAACTTGATTTTTACAAAAAAGCAACAACTACTAAACTATCGTACAAATCTAAGCTTACAGTTCAACACAACACATTTACAAGTGTATAACCGTAGAACAATGTTTTTCATTTGTGAGTTAGAAAAAAAAAAAAAAAAAAATGAAAAAAAAAGTAGTACCTGCTATAGGGTATATTTCACATGTGTAGACTCGCAACAACCGCAAACAGCAGGTACCCACAAAACGCAGTCTTTCCAAATCCAGGAGGGTTGCTGTGTATTGGAAACCTTTTAGTCCTCTGAGCTCTTCCACCCCAAGAACCAGAGTGGTCCAACTCCAGTGTAAAATGCTCAGTAAGGATTCAAAACATTCCTTAAGGAAGGCAACACTTATAATTAACCAACATGAAATACATTACAAACAAAAGCATTTAACAGTATTGCTTTACAAGTACAACCTTGTGACCAAAGGAGATACAGGTCACTTTTTTTTTTTTACATCACCACTGATTTATAAATGTGCAGTAGATTACATTTTTTTTATTTCAATAGTACAGACGTGGTACATCCAAAATGCTGCCAATATGCTCTACAGTACAGGTTACTTTCCAGAGAGCAACTTGCAAAAGATGGAGCCAATATGGAACACCTATCCAAGACAGCCAACCAGAATCTTTTTAGTGCAGCAAGGAAACTGGCTGTAGAAAACTACTGTTCTTTATTGCACTACTTTTTTTGTGTTCATGTAAAACATTATAGTTAAACTCAGAGCTAAAAGGCTGGGACTTTTTATGTTGCCAACCTCCCCCCCCCCCACTCTATTTTCCACACAGTAACTCAAATTGAAAGTTTGCCACTTTGAGGCCAATCTTAAGGTAAGCCGAGGTTACTGAATGGTACATGAAAACAAAGCTTTCTCACAGGAACATTTCGTTAAAGGTTTATGAGCAGGTTTTTCCTCTGTTCATGGCCAGGTGATTTTTCTGAGTCTTGCAGCTGCTTTAAATATGTGTTACTTTCTACAATCTGCAGGACGCAAGCTGCAAGAAAGATAGAAGCTACTCACCACTGAAACAGATCTGGCAAATGATCTTTTCAAGATGTGAACTGGTTCACTGACTTGCTGTTTTCCTTTAGTGGCACTTCCATCACTTGTAGGCAATCTATTAAAACAGAAAACCTTAATAAATATAATACTACTTAGCTTTAATACCAAAACAAACTTTGAAAGGAACTGCACACCTTCGTGTTCACAATAAAGACATTTTTACCTGTACAGCAGCTGTGGTATTTGGCCTGCATTAACATCTGTGCCATTATTTGATTTCTTTGAGCTTTTGAACTGAAAAACCACACTAAAAAAAATAAAGGAAAAACGTATTTGACAAGTGAAGAATGACACAGAAAAAACTCCTATTTCTAGGGAGAGGAATAAGTAACCCTGCTGTGGAGAAAGAAGCTTCACAGGTTACAAGTGTGTATGACTTGGAGACATTTCAACAAATTTCCTATCACTTCCACTCCTTGACACAACAGGAAGTAAGAGGAAATCACACTTTAAAATGGGAGATTTCCTTTTAGATTTAAAAAACAAAAACAAAAAAAAAAACCACACAATGCCAACAGAATAGAAAGGATGAATCTCACCAGTAGGGAGATGGATAGCAACAGAAATCCAGACAGGGGCTTTAACACTTCCACAACTAGATAAAGATTTGGCCACACACACACTGGTCAATTTATAAAGCAGTGAATGAGACATTCACTGGTGGTGAATTAACCACTGTCAAATAACCACCAAACGCACATGGAAGATTCACCGACAGCTTTATAAATATCCCCCAAAGTGTCACATTGTAAATCAAAACAAACTGCACATATGAAAATTGTCCATAAAATAGATTTCTGGGGGAAAAATAAATGTTCACCTTTCTTTCTCTACACGTTTTGCAGTCGATCAATCTTAACTGTATTGTATTAACTGGACAGCCATAGCCAAAAGTTTTGAGAATGAAACAAATATACATTTTCATAAAGTCTGCTGCTTCAGTATTTTTAGTTTTTCGTCAGATGGACCCAAAATGTTGACGTTTTATTCTCCAAGCCACTTTAGTTATGTTTGCCTTATGGCAAGGTGCTCCTTCATGCTGGAAAAGGCACTGTTCTTGGATGGTTGGGAGAAGTTCCTCTTGGAGGATATTTTTGTACCATTCTTTATTCATGGCTGTGTTCTTAGGCAAAATTGTGAGTGATCTCACTCCCTTGACGGAGAAGCAACCCCACACATGAAAGGTCTCAGGATGCTTAACTGTTGGCATAACAGGACTGATGGTAGAGTTTACCTTTTCTTCTCCGAATAAGGTTTTTTCAGATGCCCCACACGATCGAAAAGGGGACTCAGAGAAAATTACTTTACCCCAGTCCACAGCAGTTCAATGCATGTACCTTTTGCAGTATATCAGTCTGTCCCTGATATTTTTCCTGAAGAGAAGTGGCTTCTTTTGCTGCCATTCTTGACACCAGGCCATCTTCCAAAGTCTTCACCTCACTGTGCATGCAGATGCACTCACACCTACCTGCTGCCATTCCTGAGCAAACTCTGCACTGCTGGTGCCCCGATCCCGCAGCTGAATCAACTTTAGGAGATGGTCCTGTCACTTGCAGGACTTTCTTGGGCACCCTGAAGCCTTCTTCACAACAACTGAACCTCTCCTAGAAGTTCTTGATGATCCGATACATGGTTAATTTAGGTGCAATCATAGTAGCAATAACCTTACCTGTAGGGGTGCCTTTTTGTGAAAAGCAATGACTACACGGGTTTCCTTGAAGGTAAAATTAATATTTGTGTAATTTTCAAAACTTTTGGTACGGGCTGTACTAAATCAAGCTGTCGGATCCTAAACAGCATACTAGCTTCTGCAAAGCAGTGATACTTTGGTATATAACAACATCTAGTAATTTTAACAACTCCCCATTTTAAAAATGATGAGCTTTTCAAATAGGCTTTTATTCTTTAATATGCTTTACCTTCCATACCATGTAATTAGCTTATAAAGTAAATCTGTTTACTCTTATTAGTCTTATGAGTCATGCACACACAAAACAGAATACCACATATTACTGTACTCTCTCATTAATGGAATAGGAACAAAGAGAAAAGGGCACACGGCAGGGAATGTTTAAATTGTAATTTTGTAAAACTGACGCTCAGGCAGATGCACACAAAAAGGTGTATTAAATAAGAATGCCTTACTAAGCCATTCAATATTGAAGCTGGGTGACCTGCTACTAGAGGTACCTATCGTTATCGGGTGATTGTCACCAAAATATGCTTATTATGGCTTGATCATGAGCTGATCCCATTCATGAGCACTACACACACCCATAGCTGTTTAACCACTTCCAGGCCGGACACTTTTACCCCCTTCCTGTCCAGGCCAATTTTCAGCTTTCAGTGCCATCACACTGACAATTGCGCGATCATGCAACACTGTACCCATATGAATTTGTTAGTTTTTTTTGAGACAGATAAAAAAAACTTTATTTTGGTGGTATTTATTCACCACTGGGATTTTTATTTTTTTGCTATATAAAATGAAAAAGTCCAAACATTTTTTTTTTTTTTCAAAAAGTGTTTTTCTCTTATAAAATTTTGCAAACTTTTTTTTCTTCATAAATCTTGGCCAAAATGTATTAATCTATCATTTTCGTTAAAAAAAAATAAAAAAAATATATATAACCCAAGTACGTTTATAACCAAAAATTATGTTGTTTTTTTAACATACCATGACCATAGCAGTACAGTGTCACCATAGTGACACTGTACTACTTGTGGGGGGTGATTAAGATGTTTTTTTCTTTTTTTTTTTTTTTTTTTTTTTTTACACGGATTGCTTTTACACCCATAAAGGCTATAAAATCAATAATTTCTCCTTTCTGGCTGCATTCTTGCAGCCATTGTGAAATACTGTGAGAGCTGTGATTGGTCACAGCTTGTCACATGGTACAAGGCTGTTGTGATTAGCCTTGTACCATGTGACCTCTGTGATCATTCACAGATTTCACACGTACTAAGCAATGATGTCAGGAAGTGTTTACCACTGTTCCTGTGGCCAATCAGTGATCACATGAATCGGGACCTCACACAGAGATCCCGTACAGTGATCTGTGTTGCCAAGGTGCGCGCACAGGCAGTAAAATGCGGGGGCTGTTTATATAAAACGGCCACCTGCTCCTGCACTGCTCCCGTCCGGCCCAAGTACATAAACGGCCAGACGGGAGCAGTGGTGGTTAAAGAACAAATTGAGCTTTTGTTGGTGGTAAATGGTAATGGAAATCTTTTTTTTTTTTTTTTTTTTTTTTTTTTTTTTTTTTTTAAGCTTTATTATAAAAGAAAAAAAGTGGCAAAAAATGTTAGTGTATATTTCTTTCCATTTCCATAACCTACCACCCAAGAACCATGCAACAAATTCTCTTTCTCCTGATGATCGTAACAATACCACAAATGTGTATGTTATTTATGCTTGTATAGTAGGGCCCAGAAATAGTACCTATTTTGCTTTTTTTTATTCTATTCTACATAGAACGCACTGACATTACCTGACCCTAAACCAAGCCTAGATCAAGCCCTGATGGGTTTTTTTCCCCTCCCACAGATTTTTGTTTACAAATTTTCTCCTCTAGTAAAGCAAGTGGAAAAAATGGCACAGGGCAGACAGTGACTGATTACTGCCACAGCTAATCAAAGGCTATCACAGCAATCAGGTAATCGGGAACTAGACCTTTGTTGTAGAGATCTCAGTATGGGAGTGGTTAAGAAGTTTAGTAAATATAGGCAGGGCTGAAACCACTCTGTCCACAAAAATCCAATATATCAGCACACAACAGGACTCTCAGGTGATCCTCAGGGATCCAGGGCTGTCCTCACCTGAACTGTTCCTTGCCAGTCTTTGTGTCCTCGGTGCAGGCATGACACCTTGCAGCTGAAAATGTGCAAGCCACACTTCACTTTATGAATGGCCCTGCAGCCTTCTGGAACCATTGACCTTTGGGGGTGGGGGGGAGTTGGGTAAGAACTTCCGCGGATCCACTGGGAGGAGGACATAAAAGCGGAAGTTCTGCTTTAAGAGCATAGTGCATTCTAGCAGATCAATAGGTACTTTATTGTACATGCAGGGTCTATCAACATGGGTAATGTGCACATATCTTAAAGATGTAATAACATCTTTTTTTTGCCTTGACATACGCTTTAACCAATGGCCAATTAGAATTAATGGGAATGCTTAATCATTTCAATGTTTAAAATTTACAGTATGTTCAAAAAAGCCTTAATTTATTACATGAGTGAAACGTTAATGTAAACTCTGTATTAATTCAAATATTAGCCTACTGATAATACCCTATACCACCAATAAATCACTCAATATGTCCCCATAACACCTCCAGACTGTTGATAGCTTTGTTTTACTTCAAGTCTGATAGCTAGGGACAGAACCGGTAAGCAAATAAGGATTTTATCATTCTACAAAAAAAAAAAAAAAAAAGCAGTATATTACAGATACAAGCTAGCTACAAGTGAGATTATTGTATGCAACCAAAAGCAAACCAAGGTACAGTGTTATATTTCATTTACTTTGAAAAATCTAAAGCTGTTGGATCTGCATGATAGCCATGTAACTAGCAATTTGAGAAAGAGGTCAGTATTCGTAGCTTATTTCTCTCAGCACAGGTTTAGCCAAAATAAAAATTACAGATTCCTGACTATCTGGCTGTGATTTTAATCCAGTTATGACAGTCATTACAGATTCAGAGAGTTTAGAATACAGTATAAAACTTTGCTGTGTGATGCCGAGAAGGATCAAAAGAATAAATGAAACATTACCCATCATCTGTTGTTATTGAAGCCTGTCCGTGAGATCCACAATCGCTACTAGGACCAGATACACGAGCCCAAGCCACATACCACCAGCCAGCTTGTAGAAGTACAGGTTCGTCAAACATCATTGCATATTTCTCTCTAGGGTACAAGACAAAATCAACCGTCAAACAGTCTGATTTGTTAATTAGCTTTGACATACATTCTTAATTAGCTTCACACTATAAGCTGATAAAGCATAAGCAGCTGGTCACAGAAGAGTAACTTCCAGTCATCTATGAAAGATTCCCAAGCAGACCTTGTAGCTACCATTGCTTGATACCTCACAGGAACAGAAAGAGAATTCAATGTAAACACACAAATATCCAACTGAAACACAATTAAAAATGACAGCTTCACATGCTTTGCAGCATTCATCCTGGAAGAAACCTTTGCAATGCAATTTAAAGGTTCACTAAACCCAAAAGACAAATATTGTAGGACATAAAAAAATGCAATCTTTCCTATATGAAAAGGGGACTGCTATATTCTTTAAATGCCACTATATTAAGATCACCATTCATCCGTTTGCCAGGGACAGTCCCTTGAAAACGAATGGATTGGTGGCAGTGGTGGGGTGGGGGGGGGGGGACTGGTTGTGTAATTGCTGACAGCGCAACAGCATGGTAGGCAGCAGGCTCACTGAGTCCCTAAGGAATTTTGGTAAGTCTCCTGGCTCTGCCTAAAGACTACAAAATCTAGCTTGCACTGCGGAACAGGACACCCTTGGATGAAGGTAGTAAGTGTGATCTGTCTCCCTCCTGCCCATGCTGCACGTAAAGTCTTGGCATTGGCAGCACCAGAGTTCTGCAGAGGAAGTGCATTGCTGGAGCCTGAGCCTCCTAGTACAACATCCTGATCATGCTATCAGCTGATGAGCAGGAGGCAGCGTCAGGATTCCTGAACATCCAAGTTATTTCCTGTAAAAACTTACTGTAAATCATGAGAGCCATTCCTGAGGGTGATAGGGCACTGAGCAGGTTGGAGGTCAGTTATAGAGTAAGCTATCAGAGTTTACATTGTATGAAAAACAAATAGGTAATCACCTGGCTGCACAATCATATGCAAGAACATCAGTCTCGGCAAGAAGGTCTCCATCCGTTTCATGATCACCTCCATCTGATCCCAATTCAAACAACTACAGGCAAGGATATATGTGGAAAATCATTACAGTAAGCATGCCTCTAAGAAAATGTACTAGGCGTACAAAAAACATGCCAACTTCATTTCAATATTACCTTAATTTTGGCAGTGTACTCCCCTCTTCCACCAAAGAGACCCAATCCTCCCAGTAGGATGTCTGTATCAGCACAGAATCGAATAGCTTCCACTGAATGTGCTGAATACCCCCAGCCACCTCCATGACCTTAATAAATGACAAAAAAAAAAAATGTAAGCAGCAACTGGACCCAGTGTTTGGTACTTGCTTCTTTCTGCAAATATAGACAAACATACTCTCAAATCTGTTTACAACGCTGTAATCTTCCTTGGAATAGACTTTCAACACAGACTGCGTTTCCTCTTCAGTACTTGAGACTCCCATTTTCAAGTCCTGCATTGTCGCCAGAGTGTCAAGACAGCCTGAAATTTAAAATGTGATACAGAAGAAATTTCTAAATTAAAAGAGACCAAATAGGCATTTCAGCTGAATGGAAAAGAATTATTATAACTTTTATTACATGAATAAAAAAAATATTTATAGGACACAACTACTATATTTTTGGCAAATGCACAATATTGCAATTAAGTATTTGCCAAAATTTCTAGTCTCAGGATATTACGCCATTCCCATAGTAATTTCACTCTGTTGCTCACGGTCATCAAATCTAGGTAATCAAGGCTTGAACACTGCCTAGTGCATGATAAAAACACACAGTAACAACCCATCGCAAGCAGCATGAGGGCATTTTTTTTTTTTTTTTTTTTTTTTTTTTAACACCGAGACACATACTGGGTCCCAGTAGAGAAAATCTATTGTTCCGCTTCACTGACTGCTGTGCCAAACTTGAAACCAAAAATACTCAGGTATTTCACATGACAAGACTTCCACACATATGCTGGCAGTGCCTAAAAGATCAGAAATGCCAACAATAATTAAAAAAAAAGAAAAAAAAAAAAACCACACAACACTTACCTAGTATATATGCAATGCTGCATGTGATCGTGTAGTTACAGCTTTCTGGCCTGTTGGGAGGGCCAGCTCTGGACTGAGTATGCTACATCTTAACTGCATGTCAGGGGCTGATGGTAGCCTTGAGTCTGCTATGACAGCATTATAACACCACAGCTCTCTTGTGCTGGCCTGAAATCTAAAACACAACAGATAACTGAATAATGTTTTACTTGGCCAATACAACAGTGCACTTAAGTGTACCCTAAAACAAAACAATATTGTTAAAGAACACTCAAACCATTTATCTGATGAAATTTATGTGGCACGTTTAGTCTTCTTTAAAGCAATTCTAAGCCATTAATTTTTTAAAACAGATTATATTTACCTGTTCTGTGAAATGGTTTTGCACACAACAGCCCTGATCCTCTTCTTCTGGAATCCCCCACCAAAAACTCCTGGCTCCTCCTGCCTTCCGAGTACTCCCCCTAGCAAAACCACTTGCTCATGGGGCCCCACTGCCTGCATCCATAAACACAGGCAGCGGAGCTTTGCCCTAGCCCCCACTACCTCATCGTAGGATTTGATTGACATCAGCAGGTGCCAATGTCTCCTGCTGCTACCAGTCTGCTGTAAAGGAGGGAGAAGGCAGAGACTCTTGTGCACAGTGCTGGATTGAAATCAGGCTCAGGTAAATAGAAGGGGGGCTGGAGGCGATCCTGGACACGGGTGGTCTTTTACCTTAATACAGAGAAAGCATTAAGGTAAAGAAAAATCCTTAAAGCGAAGTTCCACTTAACCTATCAAAAAATAAAAGTCAGCAGATACAAAAAAACTGTAGCTGCTGACTTTAAAAAAACAGCCAATTAACTGTCCCACGGTTCCGTGGTGTGTCCCCTGCAGCTCGTTTCACCGGCCGTCCTGTATTCCAGGAGGCCGGCATCTTCAGTGTGGGCAGCCGGCTGTGATAGCTTGCAGCTTCACAGTCGGGTACCCACTGCGCATGCGCGAGTAGCGCTGCTCTTCGTGAATGGTCCTGTAGTCTTGTGGGAAATGTCACGTTTCTCAAAAGACTACAGGGGAGGACACCTTCCGCTTCCAACCACCTAGGCCGGGTGTCGGCAACCCACGGCTCCGGAGCCGCATGCGGCTCTTTTTCACCTTTCCTGCGGCTCCGGAGCACACTGCCCACCAGGTGACAGGCAATAGGGTCGGCAAGCCGCGGCTCTTTTAATGCAGATCTTCTGTGTGCCGGGCGCCCGCTGGCAAACATTGGCTGTCAGGATGTAGGCGGGGCAGCCCGGATGTAGGCGGGGCAGCGTGACGAACTCCTCTCCTCTCACAGTCCGCCCTGAAGACCAGAACGGCGCGGGAACCCAGCGAGAGGAACGCGCGGAGCAAAGGTAAGTGAATTCACACAATATGGGGAATGAATTACTATGGGGGATGAATTACTATAGGGGGGATGAATTACTATAGGGGGGATGAATTACTATAGGGGGGATGAATTACTATATGGGGGACGAATTACTATATGGGGGACGAATTACTATATGGGGGACGTATTTTCAGTTTTAAAAATGTTTCTCTCAAAATAAATTTCAATCGTGGTTTTGGCGAGATTTGGCTCAGTCGAAAAAAAGGTTGCCCACCACTGACCTAAGGCTATGATTGTGATTATGACGATACACTGTGGCCCTGATTAACCCTTTGCTTACTGGGCCCTTAAACCCCCTTCATGACCAGAGCGTTTTTTTGCAATATATGCAGTGTCGGATTTGTTTTAAATGTTGCAATGGTTTTGCGGCTCCCAGTCTTTTTTTCCCTCTCGGAAACGGGTCCAAGTGGCTCTTTATGTCTTAAAGGTTGCAGACCCCTGACCTAGGCGATCGGACCGGAAGTGGGAGCGGGTACCTGTCAAATTCGGATACCCGCTCCCCAAAAGGTGCCAATCCTTAATGAGGAGCAGTCCTTAAAACGGAACTTCCCCTTTTGGGTGGAGCTCCGCTTTATGGCTTTAAGAACCACTTTAAGGGCTCATTCAGATCAGGAAATGCATTAATGTAATGTGTTATGCGCTGAGGTGTGCCAAAATAAATCTGAACCCTGGGAGGACCTATACCTCAATGGACTACAAAACACACACACACCAAAGACAGGACTAAGTTGAAAACAAAATCCTACATTCCTCTACCCACTGAAGGACAAAAGGAAATCTTATTCCTATAATTATGTACTTATACAATTTTAGACTGTCGAGCCATCCAAAAGCAATCCAACAGAGAGGTAGATAATATAGCACACAAATGCTAACAGTCCTAGAACAAGTAGTAAACTGGAGGCTGCCTGCAGATGAATAAATCACCTGAAGGATCCAGCACCCAAAGTTGGCATCAGATGAAGCCTGAATATACACATGGTAGAACTTAGAAAAGCACAGACAACCAGATGGTAGTCTTGAAAACTTGAATGTGTAAAAAAGTGTGCCTTGACAAGAAAGGGTGGAAACCAAACCTAAAGCCCATGAAATTTGGATAATGGGCAGCCCAAGCAGATAGAGAAACCAAACCAATATACTCTTACAAGAGCCATTTGAAATACTGAAGAAATTAACCTTTCTGAAGCAGCCTTTGCTGAAATGGAACCAGAGGGATTCACACAGTGATAGACGAGGTAGAAACCTAGCCTTTGAAGTGCTGAGCCAAATGCTGGTCCAGACTCCACTGCAAGATAGAGAGGATTAAATTCTAGGAATTTCTCCTAAGGGTAGAAACCTGACTCACACTAAATGAATTATGCTTTTCAAGTTGAAAGGTGGACCTTACAGGAATTAGCCATCCTAACTATTAATAGTATAATAATCTGCACAATACCACCTTTACCAATAATATACACATCCAGAAAGAAAAGTCAAAAAAACTTTCACCCTTGAAAGTCAACATACATATTACCGAACTTTCCTTTGTGACTAAATTATCCCAATCTAAATAAATACATATAACATACATCAAAATATTGAGCAATTTGTGATTTATTTTTTTATTTTGATGTATGTTATATATATTAATTTAGATTGGGATAGTTTAGTCACAAAGGAAAGTTTGGTAATATGCATCCTAGCTATTAGCATCATAGGAACACACTACCCTGACTCAGAAGAAGAAAAAAAAAAAAAAAAAAAAAAAGCAAAAAATACACCTTAGTACTGCCGGTACTAGGGTTGTTGGTTCAAATCCCAGTCACGGTACCACATGTCTGGTGTTTGGACATTCTCCCTGTGCCTGTGTGGGTTTCCTCCGGGTACTCCAGTTTCCTTCCACACTCTAAAGACATGCTGGTAGGTTAATTGGATCCGGTCTAAATTGGCCCTAGTAGGTGTATGTACGAATGTAAGTTAGGGACCTTAGATTGTACGCCCCTTGAGGGTTAGGGACTGATGTGAATATACAATATATATGTAAAGTGCTAGGTAAATTGATGGCGCTATATAAGTACCTGTAATAAAGAACAGCTCTGCCAATATAGCCAGCGACTGATTTTGGATCTCAAATGAGTCTCACACAAAGAAGAGAATCAAACAGATGCCACAGAAAAACTACCAGACGTCATACCAGGACAGCGTGTAACATTCACCTGGACTAGTCCTGTCCAGAGTCCTGAAGATCCCAGAATGCCCTCCATCTAAATCCTGCAAAGTACAGATCAGGGTGTACTGATCCAACAAAGCCAACACAGCATCCACTTCTACAAGAGATTTCCTGTCCAGTTTAAGAGCCTAGGAACTAAGAGGTCCACGTCTAGTAAACCTCCACCCCTCCCAAAGACAGGTCCCGAAACGCCACTCCCACAGATACAGACATTTTCTGGCTGAGAAAGCCTGCATGCCAAAATAGCTATGCCTGGGATGTACACAGTGGAAAAAGTGGGAATGTGAGGTTCTGCTGAGGACAGGATCCAAACTATCTTTCTGGCTATAGTGAGACTTCAAACTGCTCTCTGATGGCTAAATGTATGGCATGGTGTTGTGGTCTTACAGAATCCCGGCGACACTTCAGCTGGATGGTTCAATGTAGAGACTGACTAATGTTTCTGCAAGTAGCATACTAGAAAAACAGGATCTAGAAATGATTTGAAAAAATACTTTTCCTTGAAGATCATGTAGAAATGTAAGGGTTTCATGTAGAAAACAATTCTCCTCATTGAAGAGCTCTGCAGTCTAGCACTTTGACCAAAGGTTTGCATCCATGAATACTGAGTAGAGAACTAGGATATAGCAAAACCATAAGCATTATTAGTCACAGCTGAAATTAAAAAATTAGTCATTTGTCCTACACCACGTGTCAAACACAAAGCCCACAGGCAGAACCCAGCCCTCCAGGCCTTTTCATGTAGCCCACGCACCTCTCCTACAGCTGCAGCACCCCCACCGTATCCACCCCTACCGTGTCTCAGCAGCTGGCAGCAGAGAAGACAACAGAAGTCCTGCTACAGATCCTGTGCCTCATCTCTGCCTCTCCTGGTCTCAGAATTCAACAGACTCCAGCAGCTAACTCCAACCCTCCTCCAGACTCTGCACTTTGTTTCCCAGCTCCACCCCCAGCTTCTTCCCGGCAGCAGCACAAAGTTAGGGAGGTGCACTGATGTAAGGCAAGGGTGGGGTACTGTGGACATCTAGTGTTACAGATACAACTAGCCCTTTGAGGGCAACCATAATGTTGATGCAGCCAAGAATGAAATGGAGTTAGACATCCCTGTCCTACACGTACTATAAAGCAAGAGTTTAATCCTATTGGCATGAAGGTCGCTTTAACCATTTCAATACCGGGCAATTTTACACCTTCCTGCCCAGGCCATTTTTCACGTTTCAGCGCTCTCACACTTTGAATGACAATTGCACGGTCATACAACATTGTACCCAAACTAAAATTTTATCATTTTCTTCACACAACTAGAGCTTTCTTTTGGTGGTATTTAATCACCGCTGGGGTTTTTATTTTTTGCTAAATTAACAAAAAAAAGACCAAAAATTTTGAAAAAAAAAAATGTTTCTTTGTTTCTGTTATAAAAGTTTACAAATAAATAATTGTTCTTCATAAATTTAGGCCGAGATGTATTCTGCTACATGTCTTTGGTGAAAATAACCCAAAATTAGGATGTATTATTTAGTTTGTAGGAAAGTTATAGCGTTCACAAACTATGGTATAGATCTGAATATTGATCAATCCTGAAGTACTGACAGCCAATCTAATTTCTTGAGGTCCAATAATGTCAGAATAGTACAGATATCCCCCAAATGACCCCTTTTTTGCAGAGTAGACAGTCGGACGTACTTCATAAGAGGAATGGTGAGTTTTTTGAAGTTTTATTTTTGTCATAATTTTTCAGAAAATGAAAAAAATTAAAAAAATTATTTTCACTATTTTATTTTTACATACTGTCACCAGTGCAGTACAGCGTCATCATATAACTGGCATGGCGGTGAACAGGGACACTGACTGGTGACAGTATGAAAAAAAATATATATATATTTTTTTTATTTTTTTACATTTTTTATTTTTTTAAGATTTTTTTCTTTATATTTTACTATGACCAAAGTAGTACAATGTTACCATAGTAACATTGTACTACTTTTGGGAAGTGATCAGTTTTTTTTTTTTTTTTACACAAATTTGTTTATAGCAAAGAATTACTTTGCTATAAGCAAGCATTTACCTAAATGAAATCGATTCATTCAGTTTTTTTTTTTTTTTTTTTTTATTGTGCTTAGCTGTGATTTGGCCACAGCTAATCACATGACATGTGCATGTGACCTGCTGTGACCATTCACAGCTAGGCACTAGTATACAATGGATGGCATGAATGAAGCCATCCATTGTATACAACTGTCATGTGACCTGCTGTGATTGGCCGGGCGGCTAATGGGTAACATCCCTAGCGGTCTGATTATGTCCATATTTCTGTGCTCAAAGCGGTAAATTTTTTGCACGGAAATATGTAGTTTTTTTTATTGTAGGCCTTTAATTTTTAGGAATAACTCACTGAAATCTGTCCAAACAAAAGTCTAGTAAAAATCCCGGGTATGTTAAAATTTTAAAATACGAAATCATAAATTATAATTTAATAAATAATCCTAAAAAAATATTATAATAAATTTAATTCAATAATATAATCAAATAAAAAACAGTGAAATTTGAAATATAGCGCCAAGTTCACACATCACTGAGCAAAGTCGCAAAATCGTGTCTGATGACAAATTTCCCTACGAATCATTATCAATCAATTCTGCAAGTGGTTCTGATTTACGATCGCTGTTCTCTAGCTGGTCTAAAACCAATTTTGACCTAAAAAGGGACGCTTTTTGGACGCTTCTCAGATTCCAGGCAGAAAGAACAGTAAAAATGTAGGCAGGGCACAGGACAAAATGTATGTGAAATGGTTTGATACAGTAATGTTTTACTATGTGATTTTAGTGTATTTGGTGAATATCACTTTTTTGTCATTTTCAAATTTCCCACCGTTCCGTCCCCCATACATCCCGACGTCGCAGGGATGGAACCCAGAAGACAAATGCCGGCATCCGCCGGAGGACATTACAGGGGACACTGCAGGAGGGACATCGCGGGAGCGCAGGACAAGGTAAGAGAAGAACAAATCCTGGAGCAGCGCCGCATGGTAAGCCCAAGTGTAGCTCGGGCTTACCGCTTGTGGTACTGAAACTTTACCCTGAGCTACACTCAGGAATACCGCCAGGGAGGCTACAAAGGAAAGTTAACCAGCTAATATTGATTTGAGAAGCCACAATCACTAGTAGGAGTCCTCAATTTTACTATCCAAAGAGGAAATTGGTGCCACAAGGAGAAACATTCTCAGATTAGGGAGCATTAGATTGAAACAGGTGTGAACAATTCTTCCATCAAAGAGGATAAAAAAAATCTGCGGAAGTATCCCACCCTGAATTTGAAAAGTCCAGTATGTCTGCTCGCAGTCTATTGGTAAATGCTTTAAGTTGTGCATTAATGACAAATGACCCATAGATGATAACCAGCAGACAGTTGAAGCAGATCATAAGGAGGCCCTCCACACCACACAAATTAAGAGGGACTAAGCTCTTGGGTGCAATGGAATAAGCATAGCAACCCCACTTCTGATTGCCAGCTAGAAGCAAAGGCCAAACAAAACACTGCTAAGATTTAAGATCAAATGTAATCTCCCCAACTACCCAGATGTACTTACAATACTGCAAGGCAATATTGAGATCTTAAAAAATTGCTATAAGGGAATCCACTGGTCACTCAAGTGACAGGGTGGAGCCCCGATCACATCTGGATCAGGATAGCTGGAGTTGCATGGAGCAACTACACACAAACATCCACAACAAGTAATAAATTAACCAGGAGAGGCATTAAAAACAAAACTCTCCAAGTACAATCTGAACAAGGTCTGTTACTCAGTCTGCATTAGCATAAGGTACAATCTGAACTTTATCAGCAACTCAACCTACATTTGCACAGAGTTTAATCTGATCTTTTGCAGGATACATTAGCATGCAGTGTGCGCAGGATCATAATTAATGCAATATTTAAACTGAATGTGTAATAAAATTGCAGCCTACCACTATGTTTTATGTTTATGTATTTTCATCTGGTGATCTAGCAAGACACTTCATGTCTTAAGGTGTCTCCACTCTATGGAGAAGCAATGGAGACATCCTTGGACAAGGAGCATTCTCAGTCTAGGGAGACGGTAGTGTTAAATGCACCAGCAAATTTCAATAGACTTGACTAAAATAAAGCTGATGTCCGGCAAACACTTTCAGTAAAAACAGGCCTTTAGGGATAAAGTTGTAACTTGTTACATAATGAATAATGCTGACCACTACAAGCACCTGCTAGTGTTGCATTGTTTGTCTCAAACCTTTAACTGAAACTTTTGCTGGAAAGTTTGGTCTGCTAATAGAATTAAAATTAACAGATGTACTGGCTGCATGAAAAAAAAAAAAAAACAAAAAAAAAAAAAAAACACACACCCACACACAAACATCCACTCTCCAACACCATGAAAAAACATGATGGTTGTGTAGAGGGTTAGTCTGTGCTGGCTAATGTTTATTTTGCCCTTTTTAGAGAAGTCATGTCCTTTAACAGACAAGATAAGCAATTCTACTCCCGTCACTGCTGCAGGCTTCCTCTTCACTGAGACTGGTTCACCAAAGCCAGTTCTATATGGCGATCAATCTATCACAAGCACTTTGACATCATCCTGTGCAATGTAGAGCAAATAGTTCTGCATTTGGTGAAAATTCTTACAACCAGGAGTGTCAAAGGGAAGAAGAGAGCCCTGGCTGCCAGGGGAGGAAAGGACAAGATAAGTAAAACTGCTTTTGATGGTAACCTACCAAAAAAAAAAAAAAAAAAAAAAAAAAAGTATTCAACCTTTGCAGTTTAGGGGTAGTCCCACTGGAAGGGTAGGGTTTTGACATTTTACTGAATTTCAGATTGAAGGCTTTAATTTTGAATTTTAAAATTCAGACATTTAGTTATGTTAAGGCAGCACACTGCATTAGCTTTAGGTGTGTTGTCTGCTACAGTAACAGTGGGTAAGGTGCCATTCCAAAATGTTGATTACTAAAACACAATAGTGCGAGTGGGCCCATAAGGACAGTGTGTATTTAAGTGTGAAAAGAAAAACCAAACACACACACACTGTTTGAATATGCTTTTTTTTCTGTGCTTACAGCATTCCAACACAAGCTTACACACTAAATGGTCCAAGAATCGTACTTTCAGAACTAACCTCCAAATAACATCATGGACTGGATCCAAACAAACTCCAAACCCTTGCAGATCCTCTTGCTCAGAATCATTGAATGTAGCACAGCTTCCATCCACTTTATTGATGAGAAGACATTTAAATGGAGGAGGTTCAGTCATAGATGCTGGCACAAGACCTGTAGAATTGAAGGAAATCTTATTTTATTGCCAACATAAGCTAGTTTTTTTTGGCCCTAAACTGAAGAATGCTTTAAATTCCAAAATATTTGTTATGGTCAGCACTGCAGAAACAGAAGCATTTTCAATTTTTAAACATAACTGACTTTACATATATTTTTTACTTGTTAAACTGCTGAACAAGCGAGTTAAAAGCAGAATTCGGGGCTAAACCCAACTAGTATTAAAAATGCTCCACCCCCCTTCTAACACCGATGTTTAACATCCTGTATAAGAAAAATGTACACACTTCTATTTATTTTAAATCAAATGATTTTTTGCTGCATTTCATTTACACACTGTGTGCTTTTTTTTTTCTTTAGCATACAAAAACAAACATACAAAACACAAAAAAAGTTCAGGTTCCATGCTACAGCTACTTGCGTTAAACAAATGGTCTTCCACATACAGCATAGTAACATCGTACTATACATGTAGAAATTATTTTGTACAATATAGTGAACCAGCTTTGTAACAAACCAATTAAAATTCAACTGTATCCATTGACCCGTCTCTTCAAGAAAGAACAGATTAAAATAGTCTGTTGTCTTTCATTTCCACAGTAAGATTACACAAGTGTGGTCCAGTCACTTGATCCAGCTCCCTTGTGTCCGTAAGTGGTGGCTGCAGGGGAAAGGAGAAACGGCCAGCAGATGGGCCATAGGAGCCTATGGGTGACATTACCTCTCCCAGTTACTGTCAAGCACACTTTACTCCACCCTTCAGCCAGGGGGATCCCATGGCTGGACTAGGCTGACCCCATGGCTGGACCAGGCTGACAACACAAAAAGCATATACAGCTGTGTTCAATATAATAGCAGCGTGTTGAAAAAAGTGAATAAAGTTCAAAATCCTTCTAATAGCTTTTATTTCCATACACACAAATGCATTGGGAACACTACACATTCTATTCCAAATCAAAACATGAAGAAAAATAGATCAAATTTGTGTTGTTCCTCTAAACAAATTGAAGAAAAGTGAATATTAGACTGTTCAAAAAATAGCAGTGTTTGTATGCTTCTTTACAAACTCAAAATTCACTAAATTGAAAAACATTTGAAGATTTTGCTTTCCTTTGAATCACTTCATTAATATTTAGTTGTATAAGCACTGTTTCTGAGAACTGCTGTACATCTGTGTTGCATGGAGTCAACCAACTTCTGGCACCTGTGAACAGGTATTCCAGCCCAGGATGATTGGACTACATTCCACAGTTCTTCTCTATTTCTTGGTTTTGCCTCAGAAACTGCATTTTTGGTGTCACCCCACAAGTTTTCTATTGGATTAAGATTCGGGGATTGGGCTGGCCACTCTATAACGTCAATCTTGTTGGTCTGTAACAAAGATGTTGCATTTTAACTAGTGTGTTTGGGGTCGATGTCTTGTTGGAACACCCATTTCAAGGGCATTTCCTCTTCAGCATAAGGCAGCATGACCTCTTCAAGTATTCTGATGTATTCAAACTGATCCGTGATCCCTGGTATGCGATAAATAGGCCCAACACCGTAGTATGAGAAACACCCCCCATATCATGATGCTTGCGCAACCATGCTTCACTGTCTTCACAGTGTACTGTGGCTTGAATTCAGTGTTTGGGGGTCGTCTGACAAACTGTCTCTGGCCACTAGACCCAAAAAGAACAATCTTACTTTCATCAGTCCACAAAATGTTGCGCCATTTCTCTTTAGGCCAGTCAATGTGCTCTTTGGCAAATTGTAACCTCTTCAGCACATCTTTTTTTCCCAACAGTGGGACTTTGCGGGGGCTTCTTGCAGATAGCTTGGCTTCACATAAGAATCTTCTAATTGTAACATTACTCACAGGTAATTTTAGACCTTCTTTGATCTTCCTGGAGCTGATTGTTTGCAGAGTCCTTACCATTTTGGCTATTCTTCTATCCATTCGAATGGTAGTTTTTCCTCTTTCTTCCACGTCTTTCAGGTTTTGGTTGCCATTTTAAAGCATTTGCGATCATTTTAGCTGAGCAGCCTATCATTTTCTGCACTTTTTATTTGTTTTCCCCTCTCCAATCAACTTTTTAATCAAGGTACACTGTTCTTCTGAACAATGTCTGGAACAACCCATTTCCTCAGAATTTCAGAGAGAAATGCACTGTAACCAGCATGTAAAACATTTGCTGCCTTCCTTCCTTAAATAAGGGCAATAATTGCCAACTGTTTTTCAAAGAATGAATGACCTCACTAATAGAACTCCACACTGCTATTATTTTGAACATGCCCCTTTCAATTAGTGATTCAATTACACAGACTCAGCAGCATGAATGTCATGACTGTTGGGTCTGTTGGATTTCTATTACTCTACTACACCTGCTAGTAAATGATTTTGTAGAAATATTTCTATCAAAAACAGTGATTGATCAGGTTAATGATGTCTGACTGCTATGATTTTGAACACAACTGTACATTTTACTTACACAGGTTAGTCAGCATAAAATGTTGGCAGGTTTGCATTTTTAATACTAGTTTTGTTTTAGTAGTTTTAGAAAACCACAAGTGCATAGAGCTTAAAAGAGGAAGCTAAGATTACAAACATTGATAAATCAGAATTCTTGGCTAAACCAAACTGCCCTCCACTGCCAACCATTCTTCATCAAATGTCTTCCCAAAAATCTTGTCCCCCACTTCCAGCTATTATTGGCTCACTTGTTCCATCACTGGACTGGGCACACAGTCTGAGTTCAAGTTACATGTAAGCTGATGTACAGAATGTAGCATCTCCTTAGAAAGGAATACAGATAAAGCAGCCATCTTGGACATACTCCATTAGGCCAATTAACCTATCAACATGTCTTTGGAGTATGGGTGGAAACCCACATGCAGGGCAAACATGAAACTCCATTAATACAGGGTCCTTGTCAGAATTCCAATGAAGGACCCAAGGTGCGCAAGAAGTGCTAACCACTAATCCTCCAACACATAAGGACATGTCAGTATAAAACACTTACAAAAGTAGAATAGTGTTTAACTCAAAAAGTGAAGATTCTCAGTGTTCTACCTTTATAACTGTTAACGTTGCCTAGGTAGGCCCTGAGGAATCTAAGTTTTGTCCTGAATTCCTTCTGAAAAACAACAATTCACTTCCTGGTATGTGAGGGTGCCTAATGCCATATGGCTGTATATCTGTAGTGTGTGTTCTAAGGCACTATTGCCTCTGACTGGTTTAGTAATTTGATGATGTCACTACTGTGCAGTTTACTGTTCTTGCAGGTGGCACACATATGAGGAAGCAAAGCCCTGCCTCTGCCAAAGTAGCAGACTATACATAGAGGTATAGAACAAGGCATAATAAGCCAGTTATGGGATAAAGATCAATAGCAGGGAGACCGCAGGAAATGCTTGTGACTAGTCCTTTGCCTACTATGTCATTTTATTGGGGCACAGCTTCCAGAGTTTATCCCCTCTTTAAGGCATAGCCTCACATATGCTGCTGCAAAATCAGCCGCACCACTATGCCAATGTTCAGTACACAAAAATAAGCAATATATACAGTTTGAATGAGAAGTTATACCACATTTTACCAAACATACCATTTGACTGGCTGTGTTATCTAACTAAAAATAATTCACTAAAACAAGCACAGTATTCTTTTGCTTACCTATAATGTGACGACTTGCAAAGATCTCTGATGTGGCTAAAACATGCGAGTTGATAAGTGCTTCATCAATCCGCAGGAAAGTCTGATCTCCACTTGCTCCGACCCATGTTGCTTTCCTTCCATACTTTGAGCCAATGTTGGGCATGGGGGCTGGCTTTGCATTCCAATAAGGCATGTCTACAATAGGTCTTCCTAGTTGTCCTTTCTGTATAAAACAATTTAGTAGCAAATGATAAAATCTGAATGCTTTTGCATTTCAATGTATACAAAGGTGTTAGAATTACTGTATGAGAAGCTGGGGACTGGCGTTTCCACTTTCATGTTAATATAAAAGGGAAGCCTGTATCACCATCCATACTTTCCATTAAATAAGAGGCCACAAATCAGCATTACAAAATGCAAAACACTAAGTGTGTGGGTATTATGTATTTATGTTACTTTACATACATTCTGGATGTCATTAGAAACTGCAAAAACTGTCTTCATTTAGAAAAACCCTCTCTGGCAGACCTACAGTGAGATATTAAGCAAGGCTCAAAGGAAGCAGAGCCTGAATATGTAATGAATAGAATTAACCATACAGTGTATAGTATAGACACAAGGGGGTTTAAAGTGTCATTGGCAACCAATGATTGTTGGATTTTTTTTCTTTATAAAGGCTGTGCGCGTCTTAACCATGTCAAACTGGCAGATTTCTTCCTTTGCAAAAAATTGGGCCAAAAAAATTAGATCACCTTGGGTTAATATGGGGGGTGAAAAGTCAGGCTCTGGTTCTCTGCAGAGGTCTGCTGACTCAGAGCTCTTTAATCAGTGGGGAACATGAGGTTTGCTGAATGCAGAGATTTAGGTCTGACCTCTGCAGAGTGATCACTGTTGGGAGTCCCAATCTGCAGCTGACCACAGGGGAAAGGTTTTTCTATACAATCTCCGTTAGATCTACCATCAATGCAGTACTAGTACAAAATTAATAGATTGTTTAGGTGTGTCCCCCTATTATGTAGATTTGGTAAAACTAAAGGAAATCTTACAATGAATGGTACAATCCAAGGTAATAGTATATGGCCAGCTTTAGAAAGAGAACTGTAAGAAAAACACCTTTTGTTTTGATACACCTGGAATGTATTTAGCAGAATACGAAGGTTCAGTTGGACTTTAAAACAGAAGTCTGACACTTTAACTGTGCACAGTAAACGGATTAGAGATCCAATTCCAAATGCGGTTTATATCACTGGAAATTTAGGCATTTCTAAATATAAATTATATTCTAAATACAATTATGTCAGAGCACCATATGAGAATGGGAGGAATAGTTTGCTACAGAAACCACAGGTAGTCGTTAAAAGAACTAGGGGTTAAAAAAAAAAAAAAAAAAACTTTAAAGTGCACAATTCAGCCCTATGGGCCTTAGAGAGGATGGAATGTTTACATGAACCTATACAAAATTAAAATGTTAAAAATCATATTAACCAAACGCTATTTTTTCACCACTTTGTAGGCATCTTCTTTATCCATTTTTTACCTTGCAATGAGCAGTCTTGGAGGGCACCTCAAACACGAAAAAGCATGAGAACACCACTGCAAACCAGCATAGTGCATTAGCCAGAGTTAAAGCCCCCAGACCCCCAACATCAGATAAGCCGCCATTTCTGATTTTAATAGTGAGTGCATTACTATGGTTTAGACTTCTAATAAAGCAGAACTCTACACTATGGTGGTGTATGGTGACATTTGTTTGTTTAGTAGTCACGTTAAACTCATGAAATGCAAGGGCGGAGGAAGCATTATTTCAATTATAATTAATAACTCCTATAAGGAAACCTATTTCTTCACAAATATAGCAGGTGATCATTTTTGTTTGTAAAACTTACAGAGAAACTTCCAAAGGTGAATACTTGTCCATCCATTAAAAGGACAGCAGTGTGATTGCTTCCAGCAGTGACTTGTGTACTTGGACCTGGCAGTGCTTGTACTAGAGTTGGACAGCCCCTAAAAAAAGAACAATTTGCTTTACTTACATATGGTGCGACAAAATCAGGGCATCAGAGAACAAACTGACAGTGTGAAGGCTATATTGCTTGTATTGCTGTATTTAAGGCAAGTAAGTTGCAGGCAATATAAGTTTCATGCATTACAAGGGATTTTCATCAATTCACATATTGTACAGTGAAGGTCTATTTTTCACGTGCACTGAAGTGAAACATAAAATGCATATACAGCAATGAATTGTACAGAACATGTTATGCATCCTCAACCCTACCCCCACCATATAAGCACAAAACACTGGATCACAAGGCAGAAATACAAGAAAGAAAAGTGTCATGAAAGTCTACTACAAAACATGTTCAAAAGCCACTAATTGAACATGTCAACTGTCAAACAACGTAACACCACAAGACTATAGGGTCTCTTTATAAAAGGTTTTCACACAAAATGCAACCAACTTTCACCTAGTATTCACACATTTTCCAAATGATGCTAATTGGCAAAATGTATGATTCTTGGGTGAAAGTGTTGGGACTCCTTTGAAAACATCAATCAATAGACATCTAACTGAAAATTACTTTGTCTACATCAAGTTCTTTATATGCGAGATATCTGGCTCTGGGATTGCCAGGTGTTTTTCACACATCTCTGCTAAAGTGAAAGTCGGACAAAGTCCTCCTGGCCAAAAAATCCTTTGCAATGTTTTCCTTCTAAAGGACCTTCAGTGCAAGAAGTACTTTATAAGCAGTAACAATGCCTCAAAAAAGGTACTCTGAAAAGGTATTTGCAATTGTGTTTAATATCACTTATGGTAATGCTTTGTGATTTTCAGAAATTACTGCAGTCAAGGAAATGAACTGCTATCACTGTATGCAACAAGTGAACATGACAATGCACCCAAATATGCAAGTGTGTCCCAAGTGGCAGACTCTCAAAACAGCCTTTTTAGACATAGCGGCCAGGTAGGGGGTTGGAGCTAAAAGGCAATAGCATGCTCTTAGCATCTTGGTTAATTTTAATCTATATCTGATAGAAGCAGAGTTCAGCACAGATAGCTTCAACTTGTGTCCTTCCCCCAGCTACTAAAGCGCCCGATTCCATTATTGAGAAATTTAATTTTAATTTAAAAAAATCGTTACTTTATGAAAATATAGAAAAACGTTGTTCATACTTACCTACAACTCACATCACCATGCCCCAGCTGCCCGTGTTGACCATATCCAAAAGTGTAAACATCTCCATTTTCCATTAAAACCACTACAACCAGACCAAAAAAAAATAAATAAATAAAATTGGGAAATTGCTAGAAGAAAAAAAAAATATAGCACCTACACTAGGATTATCCTCTTAAAAGTCAAATACTGGAAAGCACTGGAACTGGTAAGACACTGATCAGGTTTCATTACATGGCTACTAGCATTTCAACAAACTGACTAACACATATATACACATACACACACACACACACACGCACACACACGCGAAACTTGAAAAATTAGAATATCGTGCAAAAGTTCATTTATGTCAGTAATACAACATAAAAGGTGAAAATTAATATAAGACATAGACTCATTACATGCAAAGCAAGATAGTTCAAGCCGTGATTTGTCATAATTGTGATGATTATGGCTTACAGCTCATGAAGACCCCAAATCCACAATCTCAGAAAATTAGATTACATGCAATCAATAAAACAAGGATTGTACATAGAACAATATCGGACCTCTGAAAAGTATAAGCATGCATATGTACTCAGTACTTGGTTTGGGCCCCTTTTGCAGCAATTACTGCCTCAATGTGGCATGGCATAGAAGCCATCAGCCTGTGGCACTGCTGAGGTGTTATGGAAGACCAGGATGCTTCAAAAGCGGCCTTCAGCTCTTCTGCATTGTTCGGTCTCATGTCTCATCTTTCTCTTGGCAATGCCCCATAGATTCTCTATGGGGTTCAGGTCAGGGGAGTTTGCTGGCCAATCAAGCACAGTAATCCCACGGCCATCGAACCAGGTTTTGGTGCTTTTGGCAGTGTGGGCAGGGTGCCAAGTCCTGCTGGAAAATAAAGTCAGCATCCCCATAAAGCTCATCTGCAGAAGGAAGCATGAAGTGCTCCAAAATCTCCTGGTAGACGACTGCATTGACCCTGGACTTAATGAAGCACAGTGGACCAACACCAGCAGATGACATGGCTCCCCAAATCAACACAGACTGTGGAAACTTCACACTGGACTTCAAGCATCTTGCAGTGTGTGCCTCTCCATTCTTCCTCCATACTCTGGGTCCTTGGTTTCCAAATGAGATGCAAAAGTTGCTCTCATCAGAAAAGAGGACTTTGGACCACTGAGCAACAGACCAGGTCTGTTTTAGCCCAGGTAAATGCTTCTGACGTTGTTTGTTGTTCAGGAGCGGCTTGACAAGAGGAATACGACATTTGAAGCCCATGTCCAGGATCCGTCTGTGTGTGGTGGCTCTTGATGCACTGACTCCAGCCTCAGTCCACTCCTTCTGAAAGTCCAACACTTTTGAATGGCCTTTTCCTGACCATCCTCTCCAGGCGGTAGTCATCCCTGCTGCTTGTGCACCTTTTTCTTCCACACAACTTTCCATTAATGTGCTTTGATACAGCACTTTGGGAACATCCAACTTCTTTTGCAATTACCTTTTGAGGCTTTCCCTCCTTATGGAGGGGTGTCAATGATGGTTTTCTGCACAACTGTCAGGTCAGCAGTGTTTCCCATGATTGCGATTCCTACTGAACTAGACTAAAAGACCTTTTAAAGGCTCAGGAACCCTTTGCAGGTGTTATGGCTTAATTAGCTGATTAGAGTGGGACACTTTGAGCCTAGAATATTGCACCTTGTCACAATATTCTAATTTTCTGAGATTGTGGATTTGGGGTTTTCATGAGCTGTAAGCCATAATCATCACAATTATGACAAATCATGGCTTGAACCATCTTGCTTTGCATGTAATGAGTCTCTCTAATATATTAGTTTCACTTTTTAAGTTGCATTACTGAAATAAATGAACTTTTGCACCATATTCTAATTTTGAGTCTCACACAGACTTTTTTTTTTTTTTTTTAAACATGGAGTACACATTAAGGACCTTTTGGCGCTTGCCATGCAGTCCTTGAACCATGGCATACAGTGATTTTGTAAAAGGAATGTACAGGCAGTGATCTCTAGTAGTCTTATGTAACATGTTCCCAGTCTGTCTTCTACAGCAAGCATGGGCAGTCTTCTTTAACATTCCATATATGTATTAAGTGTGGCCTTTGAGATGTCAGGTGCTGCAGTTAAGGCCCCCTATAACTCACAAGCTGACAACCACTGTCCTATTCACTTTACCAAACAGCTTTACCTGAATGGTGAAAGCCACAGCTGACTTGAACAGCCCTGAGCTCACTATCAAACCGAACTGTTCCAGGAGGGTAAGTGGTGATTTTGCTGGCATCCTTCTCTCCTTGTTCTCTGCTCTCATCTGCAAGAAAAATAAAACAATCTTATAGACCAAACACATTTGTGAAAAGACAAAAACAAGAATAACTGTCAGGCATGTTTGCATTGAGCTTTTTTCTTATTTCTAGGAATTGGAAACCATCAAGCAGATCTGATTTGCTCCAGGTAAAGAGCTAATTGAGCTCCATTTTGGTACTGCTTAATTGAACTCAATGCAAAGATGCTCAAGAGCAGAAAAAAGTGGCCTTGTGCACATTCTTGGATGATACCCCTCTGAAAGAAAAAAATAAAGTACACCATGGTGCTAGATCAGAGGAAATCCGTGAGAACAACAAAAAGGAAAGAATGACAAGCATAGCTGGGAAATATCCACTTGCAATTGATCCTGTATGCAAGTTACAGGAATACTGAACACTAAAACACTGCATCCAATCACACAATTTTGCTAGCATATATTCCAGAGTTCCAGACAATAAATGCATAGGAACTGTCAAAGTGTATCGCATATATGCTGGACTACAACACAGATACATCTGCAAAATATAAAAGCAGTCAGAAAATATAGTAAAGAGGCAGAATTCTAAGCAACACCTAGAAGAAAGACATATGAAGAATGAAAAGTGAAATGTTGAGAAAATTGCTTTTAAAAAAGGGAGAAGCCGCAAATCAATCATGATTAAAACACAAGATTACATTTTTACTTAACCAAATATTGGGACATAGAAAAACAAAAAAGGACAGCAACCAAATTAACACAAAAAATCTTGGATAAGCACCGTAAAATACTGTATAACTCAGAAGTTTGCATTTATCCTACATGAAGTTAAAGTGATTCTAAAGTCTAATTTTTTTGGGGGGGAGGTGGGAATAACAAACATGTCTATACTGCTGTGTGCAGTGGTTTTGCACAGTGTAGCCTGGTTTGTCCTCTTCAGATCCCCCGCAGGCACTCCTGGCCCCTCTCTCCTGTCGGGCGCCCCCACAGCAAGTAGGTTGCTATGGGGGGACCCGCTGCTCCGTGTCTATTCACACACGGAGCAGCGGCTTGGCTCCTTCCTCTCTCATTGGCTGGCTGTGATTGACAGTTCCCACTTGCTGTCTCAACCAATGAGGAGGCAGACACCTGTGACAGCCGAGGCTGTTGTACACAATGCTGGATCGTAATGAGGCCCAGGTAAGTATTGATGGGGCTGGGGGCACAGCTGCACACAGGTTTTTTACCTTTATGCATACAATGCATGAAGGTAAAAAACCTTGAGCCTTTACAACCACTTTAGCCACTTGCTTACTGGGCATTTATACCCCCCTTTTGGCCAGGCCAATTTGCTGTCGCACTTTGCAAGACAAATTGAGCGGTCATGCAACACTGTACCCATAAGAAATTTTTTAAATTTTTTTTTCACACAAATAATGGTATGACTACTGTGGTACTACCCACAAATTGGTGGTATTTAAATCACCACTGGGTGTTTTTTTTTGTGCGCTATAAAAAAATTAAAAAAAAAAAAGAAAATTTGGAGGAAAAAAAAAAGTTTTTGTTTCTATTATATAAAATGTGGTAAACAGGTAATTTGGCAAACTGATGTGCATTGATACGCAGCACTGGTGGGTGGCACTGCTGGACACTGATAATCTGTGCCCTGATGAGTGCCGATCTGTTTTCTGACAATTGCCGGTTATCAGCAGTACTTTCCTCACGCAGTGACAGCGTGAGGAAAGTGCAGCCGACAACCGGCAACTGCATTTACCCGGTGATTTTCTGTGTCAATGGACACAGCTGATCATGTGGTAAAAGGCCGCTGTGACTGTCCTTTTACCACATCACGTGATCAGCTGTGTCCGTAGGACACAGCTATCACTGAGACCGCTGGGTGCGCGACGCTGGGGGTGCGTGGGAAGGCATGTTCTGGGAGGACGTCATGACATCCTCCCAGAACTGGACAACCGTGCGCTGTAGCCATCATTCAGCTAGTGGTTAAGAAAGCCACAAATCCCAAATTTTGGTTGATTCCTGCTGAATTGACCAGAATTCGAGAGCAATGTAGATTGCCCTCTCTGCCCAACAAAAGTCAACATAAAACTGGCTGAGGCAGGTGGAAACAATGACAAGATCCAATGAGATGCACACAAACCCTTGTTTTACAGCATATCTAAACTCAAAATTAATGTAATTGCAGCTTACAAATCCTTCAGAGTAGTGGCTGCATTCATTTTCTTTTTTCAGGTATGATCCTTTTTGTCCAGATGCATTTCTTTATTATATCTATGGAGGCCGACTTGTCTGTCGTACAAACTGGACTTTAACCACTTGCCCTCCAGAGGATTTACCCCCCTTCCTAACCAGGCCATTTTTTGCGATACATTGCTGCGTTACTTTAACTGACAATTGCATGGGGGTTTTTTTTTACACTTTACTTTGGTGTTATAAAAACATCCAGTCTAAAATGTTTCAAAAATGAAATTTCTTCATAAAATTTAGGCTAAAATGTATTCCGCTACAGGTCTTTGCTTAAAAAAAAAAAAAAAAAAAAAAAAAAAAAAAAAGTAGCATCTACAAATGGCGGCATGTATAATGGAATTTGTATTTTTTATTTTTTTTTATACTAGTAATGGTGGTGATCAGCAACTTATAGCAGGACTGAGGCAGCCATTCTGACACTGGGTAGGAACTAACTACCACTGATGTCCCAATGACACTAATACAGTGATCAGTGCTAATAAAAAGCACCGACACTGTACTAATGGCACTGGGCAGAAAGGGGTTTAACAACTGGGGCGATCAAATGGTTAACTGTGTGCTGTTTTTCATTATGTGCGGTGTGGTGTGTGTTTGTATTTCTCTGCACAGCACAAAGCAGCATGTCCTTGCTGGCAGGAGAGACACCTAAATCCAATTGAGAATCTGTGGAAAGATTTGAAAATTGCTGTTCCCAGAAGCTCTCCATCCAATCTGACAGCTTGAGCCATTTTGCAAATAAGAATGGGCAACAAATGTCACTCTAGATGTGCAGAGTTGGTAGAGATATCCCCAAAAAGACTTACAGCTGTAATTGCAGCAAAAAGGTGGTTCTACAAAGTATTGACTCAGGGGGCTGACTACAAAATGCACCCCACACTTTTCACATATTTGTAAAAAAATTTGAAAACCATTGATCATTTTTCTTCCACTTCACAATTATGAGCCACTTTGTGTTGGTCTATCACATAAAATCCCAATAAAATACATTTAGGTTTTTGGTTGTAACATGACAAAATGTAGAAAATGTCAAGGGGAATGAATACTTTTTCAAGGCACTGTATAAAGAAGAAACCAGGTAAGCCTCTCAGACTATTTTCCCCAGGCTTTAGCACTGAAAGATGAATGACTAAAAAGAAATCTTTCTACGGTTACCATAGCAATAACAGTCACAGCCAACAGCAGAAAACATTTCTAGCATGCTTTACTAGGCAATACCAGTGAAACTGGATAGTTTGAAAAGCAGCTATGTTCTGATCATAGATTTTACCTGAAGTAAAACAATTTAAAAAAAAAATTTTTTTTTATACATATTTCTATTGAGGCCTTGTTCACACCATGCAGAGACTGTTTTTTTTCTTCGCAACAGCAGAAAAAGACAACAATGCAACGTATGCATTTTATGTACTGTGGAAAAAAAAAAAATGCACGACTCTTACATTGTGGTGTGAACAGGGCACATAGAAAACACCTGTTTTCCTTTTGCCCTTGCAGATATTTATATTGCACACATACTGTAATATACTCAAGTCAAATCAGCATGTTTTTTCATCAGTTTTCATGCACAAATGGTGTGAACAAGGCATTATATTGCACACAAATCTGCTTAGCGGGTTCTCAGTTTGACTAAAAGACAGTAAACATGTAAAAAGGCAGACAATAGCAGATGAAAAAATGAAATACTATATTCACAAAAAAGGACAGAGATATGACAGAGCAAGGCAATTAAATTTCATATATTGTCCACTATGATGTTGGATTAGGAGCAAAAAAAAAAAAAAGCAAAATTCCAAAATTATATTTCAATATATAAGAACATATATTTCAATAGGTTACCAAGCAACTTACAGGATAAACATTCTGACTTACTAAGCTGCCGTTCTGCTTTCATGTTCAGTTCTTTGCCTCTATTAAAGTGGTTGTAAAGCTGACATGAAATATGGGAGAAAAAAAAAAAAAAAAAAAAAAAAAAAAAAATATCGCTCTATATAGTGTGTACTTTTCTCTATCCAGAGCACCAAGTGTCATTTCTGTCCACCGCCTCACTCCCATCTGCATGAGTTGCTTCTGACATGTTTCTCCTGACACCAAAAGATGAAAAGGTGACAGTGGAGGATCTCCAGCACACACCCTGTGATTGATAGCCTCAGCTTTCTTCCTGTGTGCTCTGTTAAGGGGGTGCATGCCCTTTCCCTCCAATCAGCTTTCAGAACTCTCCTCACTGAGCTGTGCAGTGTGCAATTTCAGCTCTCCGCCCCCCTTCTTTCTGACAGCTCAGACAAGCTTTATAAATTTTGGACTATGAACGGATGTAGAAAAGAAAAAACGGTCAATAAACAGGTACAACTTATGTAGGAATATTTGATTCATTTCTGTGCATCATCAGAGGCCAGTCACTTCACTGGGTATATGTATAGGTTTACAACCACTTTACTGAGTCAATGAAAAAAAAAAAAGTGATCAAAAGTCTGACTCTTAAGCTACTGATCTGGAACATGCATATGTAGCAAGAAAGTACTGAAGCCAGGCAATGAGCCCCTTCAGAGGGAGGCCAGAAATGAAATCTTGTGACATGTACTTTAAAGCTCAACTCCAGCCATTTTCTTTTTTTACTTTTGAAGTCAAATGGGGAAGGGTTAGAACCCCATTGGGAATTGTTCCCTTTTATCTTTTCATTAATATCCCAGAGTAAACAGAAATGCCCCAAGAGCAAGAAATGGGGGGGGTAGTGGAAAAACAGGAATGCAATGGAAACCTTACCCCAACCCTTGCTCCACTCTAGTTGT